CCATAAAGCTCCAAATTGCTTCGTAATCGATAATGCATGTTTACCTCCTTTTATTTTATGTAGAGTCTCTGCACAAAAAATATTAAACCTACAACAACAACAGTTTTTCTTTTATAAATATCCAAAAGGACGGTTTCACGCAAGTCGCAAAAACGAGTGCGAATACCGACAGTCACTTTGTGATTTTTTTTTCCTCGAGAGAAATTTTATGTTCCGTAAAAAAGTTTGAATATGTTATCGTGGTTGCAAAACAAGCAAATATATCTTTTGGTAAAAATACAAAAATATGTCAACCGGAAATGGTCGTTCACTCCTATTTGAAAACACCCAATACAAACAATCTCAGGCAATCGGATTTTTTTTTAAGTATCTTTTATTTTCTACACATTGTGCGGCCCTCCACGGCGGCGGATCTATTGGCGCTCACAGGCGGCGCAGGTTCAGGTTCTGCCGCGCCCTACCTTCTATATCATGTTACCGCCAAGGTGTTACGCTGATCTGTTTGTAAAGTCGCTCCGGTTGCTTCCTTTACGTCGCGTAGACGGAGACGCTATATGCCGGCTGTTGATAGTTGAAACAGGCACCGCGAAGCATGTTACATGGTTGTGCACCTCGATCGCTCCGGCCAATGGGCATTTTTGGGTCGGTTGTACAAAAATGTATTAAGAATTTTCTCTTCAAAAGTACCGTCCACCTCTGTGCTGTCAATTTGACTTTTTCTGACTACCCCGTAGCATTTTGACGCTTTTCAATAATAGTGCAATTGTGAAGAACGGGTATGTGCACACCCCATTTATGACAACCACATAAGCGTTAATTTGGCCATATTTCTCGCTGTCAAGTCAAGTCAAAATGTGTTTTTGTACACAAGATGTTAGATAATTACACTTATTCAGACGAGCTTTATAACTTAAAAGCCACACAAATATTGAAATATATTTTTGCAGACTGTTATTACATATTATTAACGTTAATTTCAGAGAGTTAAAAAAATATTGAAGATGGCCTTTTTGTTAAATTATTTTCAAAATAATGCATTTTTAGTTAAATGCCCCTGTGTGAGCAATTCTTGTATATTTCTCCCGCTAACCAGGACAACAATATTTTATGCAAAGATTAGCTATATACAGAGCTACACACTGGCAAAGTTTGTTGACCTTAGCTTTTATAGATACGTAGAAAAATATTCTCTAATCCGGAGCGCAATGTGCCGTGTTTGCGATTTTTTTTTTTTTTTTTGCAAAATAATTATTTGAATGCTTACTGTTTAATACTTTTTGTCAATCCTTTTCATGACTAATATGTAAGTGAATATTTCTAAACTTGTAGCCACAACAGTTTTTTGGGGGAAGCCGCCCCGAAATGTGAGCATCGCGTGATACGCAAAATGCGCATGTGACTGAGAGGGTGCTTAAAACATTTTTTCGCAAAGACAAAATTTTTTTTCCTAAAACAAGGATTGGTTTTATTTTTTTGGGAATAAAGCCAGCAAAATATATTTTTTCATCAAAATTAAAAAATTTTACCGGACATGGTTGTTCAACCTTATCTGAAAACGCTCTTTTGTTGCTTATGGCACATTCTTTTTTTTTTTTTGTAAGGTGGCAGATTTGTACGTGATGGGGCTGTGGAGTAGTAAACGTTGGGTTGTGTACAGAGCAGGCTCTCAGGTTCAAATGCACTACAGTCGCCGACCGATTTTTCGGACTCCAATAATTCGGACCTAAAGGAGGAACCATGACTTATCCCATAGAGATAGTTTATATTCACGACCAATGTTTTGGACAGCTTGAAGTCCGAAAGTTTGATTATTCAAACAAAATCGTCGCAAGCGATCAGCGAGAAACACCACCGAGAAGCGGCCATTTTGAATTCTATGTTGGCTGCAAATGGATTGGCTTGGTTTGGCAGCACGAGTTGAGTACTCCTTAGTCCTACCGCTAGGTGACGCTGTGCTAGCCCTTTTTTTCATTTAGCTGCATGTCATCATCATCATCATTATTATCATTTTGCTTTGTTTCCTTTTGCTACAGTGGCTTAGAGAGTTGTAGTGGGCTCACGGGATGGCCTGATCTGATGAGTTTGATGTTGACGCGGCTTTGGTGCTGTAAGCGTTTCCTCCTAAAACTTTCCTGCGCACATTGGCCAGACCAGGTCGGCAAGGTGGCTCTTATCACTCTTATCAATCGTGGACAGCGGGCGGGAGAAGTTTCAGGAGGAATCTACTGCTGCGCCTCCGTCGTTTTTGAAATCGGCCGCTTCAGCGCAATACACGGGGGAGATAGGGCAGTTAGCCCACTACCCAACTTCTAGGGCACTGTACTTTTGCGTCACCAGTCGCCGTTTTGCGCTCGTGGATTTGCACCCTTATCTCTTTCCTCGCATCAGCAGAAAATGAGACTCCGACGACAACTACCTCCCGCAGCCATTGACAGCGGACATTACGAACGCATTAACATTGCTGTTGAATGTGTACGACGAGAACACGACGCTCGCGCTAGCAGACATCATGGCTTGGAGGCGTAACATGAAGCAGGCCACTATTGACGGCTTTTTAAAGCCTGCTTAGGCGTAATAAAGGCAAGTTTTTTTTATCTACCGAAATTTCAGACTGCTTGGTTATTCGGACCATTTCGGAAGTCCCCTCCAAGTCTGAATAATTGGTCGGCAACTGTATCGGCATGCGAAGTGCTTCAAATCGACCGCAAGAGAGCGGACGCTGAGGTCTTGTTGTGGCCACGGTATGATATTTGCTTATTAAGTACACCCCGATTCCACAGCAGGCCGAAACGCTTCCCTTGTTTGCACAAACAAGTCTACTTTAAAATGAAAAAAAAAAATAAAGACACATTATTTGCATACTTTTCACGATATAATAGTATGTTCATGAACCACGCTTACACACTAATGCTTGGAAAGTATTTTTGGGTGGAGAGCTACTTTTTTATAGCTTCTTTAAAGGGGTTGAGACACAAAAGTTAAACGGGTAGATTATTCATAATATAGAATGCTCGTACGTGACTTAGTATATACACCAAGTTTCGCGATTTTTAGAGCTCTAGTAATTGCAGTAATCGATTTACAAATGTTGATAATTTTCTTCCGGCGACCAGGCAACACTGCTCATGTTAGTCGCACCATGGTGCCCATAAACCACATGACCATCATATTTAGTTGAATGCTCTATCATTCTAGGTGGCTCCATGTTCACCCAAGCTCGCGTCGCCACAGCACGATCTCACACTCTCACGCTACTCAGCTACTCCAACGCACACTCTTTCTTTCGTCCCCTTACCCTTTGATCTTCCACCCTGCATGTAGTGTGCGATCGTCGCTGGAGCTGGTTGCAAGCCGGTCGAAGTCAAAATGACCAGCTTCCAACATCTTATGATAACATATCTCTCAGTGCTGCTGAGATCAGTGTCGAAGACTCCAACAAAGCAAATGTTGCTGTAGAAGTCACTATCTCGAAACCAGATGCTCGAAGCACGGAAGTTAGACGAGGAAGCTGAAGCTCGAGACGCCGAGGGGATGCTGCGCTTTGGACGGAAGGCATTACCGACCCAACAATCACTGCTGCCTTTTCGAAGGGGGTGTGAATCCGAGGGTCCTGCATATAAATGATTTATGCACAAAACTATTGCGCTGTTTTCAAAACAAGCTTAGCAGGATTATAGGGACATAGAATGGGCCCTAGCAGTATAGTATTCTCATATTTTATTTTTGGAGTGTGCTAACCTTTTTAGGACCAGATGTCTACTGAAACTGTCTAATGAAGTTGACCTGCTATCAGGACTCGTTGAACGTTCCAGTGCACAAACACAATGAGGCAGAGACAAAGCAGAGATATGCTTCGATCAATAGATACTGTTTATTAAACAGGGAACTAATTCGTTAATGCAATTCAGAAAGTAAACTCCTTCTACTTTAGGAACAAGTGACATTGGACGAACGAAAAGTAATGGTGCACTACTCTTGCACTCCAAGTGAAGTAAAACTGAATGTGTTAAGAATAGTATTCACCAAGTAGTAACTGTACCCTGAACACTCCTCTGCGACACAGTGCCGTTTGTTGGAAGGTGTGCACTGACAGTCAGCATTTTTTTTTTCTTTTTTCCTTTACTTTGTTGGCACTGCTTCATTTGCCAGAGCAACTTTCCCTTGGACACCTACAAGGATGTGGCCCTTTTAAACGACTTTTCACGGTCTACTCACGCACTTCGACACAAAATCTCTCTCACAGACGAAGTCTGTTGGCTGCAGCAGGCGGCCTTTGCACGGGATCACGTCACGCCATAACTTTAGGTGGTCCTCTGTGGGCATAGCAAAAAGGGACAGCTTCTCCGTGCACGTTTTGTATCTCGCGTCGCACCGTGGCACGAAGCACTCCTTCCCCACTGCCGGCAACTTCTGGAAGCTGAAACTGGCTTGAAACGAAACGGTAACTGCGGAAGACTGCGCACGGCTGCAGCCAGGGCTCATGCTGCCACCTGCTGCAATTCGGGAAAGGATGGCCTCGGCATTGGTGGGGCGCACCCTGGCAGCAGGAGAGAGAACCACGTTCCAATCTCCGCCGCGACTGCTCTTCGACGGAGGCGTACCATTACGCCACCTAAGTATTTCTATCACCGTGGGCCAGGGCGTCGTAAGAGTGGATCCAGCGTCGAGTTGTACAAATGGAGCGAGGGAAAGGCCACGCAGCAAAAATAGAACGAGAAATGGGGAAAGAGAAAGGAAGAAAAAAGGGATTGCCTAACTGAACGTCCTATGTCATTGGTATCAAGGGAAGACTGAGTATAGAATGTCACTTCGATTTTTAGCGAGCCTACACTTTTAGATGGGAGTGAGTTCGAACAGAGTGGAGTCTTGACGAGAGTTCAAGCAAGCAGGTAGTTTTAGTTGGGAGTGAGCAGAAATGAACCGGAATCTTCACAACATCGTCCAGCTTACAGTTATTGCGCACCCATCTTAGAACAGCTTCACCTTTGCCCACTTCCCAGATATCGGACTTCGGCCCGAGGACAACATTTACGAGGAGGTGGACATCTATCGGCGGGACAACAGCTCCTTCGAGGACGGCTACAGCGTTGCCGGCTCCGAGCTGGGGCTGGACCACTCGGAGAGTTCGGAGGAGGGTGACCCCGGTGGCAGGGGCCGCAGGGCCGCACGCCTGGCCGCCAACGGCAAGTCGGTCAAGAAGCGCAAGGACTCGGACGTGAGCAGCAATGTGCGTGCACTTCTCCTGCAATGAATACCGCCGCAGCGCTTTCCGCATCTTAGTGTACATGTTCCTGTTTTTTGCAATACCCGCTGATTGGTTATCTTTTGCGTGTCTACTTGTCGCTATGCCATGGTTAGTTTTGTTCATGTGTGGATGCAGGATTGCTTCTAGGATATGTTCAGTATTTTCTCTTGTCCTTGTTGCTAGTACAGTCGTATCTTGTTGATAGAGACTCCGTTAATTGGGATAGCCCGCTATATACACAACGTTTTTCGAGAACAAACTGGGTAAATAGGTGCATTTTTGTTTTGTTGGTATGGGCGCTTTACTGGGAAAAGGAAGGTGTCCTATTCACGAGGCATCACTATCTTGGTGTTTTTGACTAGAGCATCTTCTGAATAGTGAGAGCATATTTTATGCCGTGTTTATGAGCTGAAAAGACTCTGCTGTTTAGCAGAATTCTTCGACAGCAGGGGTGGGTTCAGTTAGAGTCACTGAATGTTCCCAGAGTACTGAAACTCCCAGGCTCGAGGCACCAAAATGGTGGCTCAATCTTTTTTTTTTTAATTTTATTGTGGTCACCATGAGCGTTTAGAAAGTGTGTTCTTGTGTAAAAACAAACGAAAAAAGCTCTTTTTTTATTAACTTTTTTTTTAGATTAGTACAGAATGACAGGGTCGTGATGTCTTCATAATATTTTAGTTTACAAGGTTTTGCGGCACAATTAATATTGTTTTTATACAACCATTTCTCACCGGTGATTTCAGGTAGCACGTCCCAAACTGGGCATGTCCCTACTTTTGTGGTAGTTCGCGGCACGTCTGCGTGGAAGTTGGGGGTTGGCAGAAACCCTTCCATTGTACATGTTTCGGCATTAAAATGGCCAATCAGAGCTAAACTTGAACAGTAACATTGGACGCTATCAAATGTGATACTCTGGCAACATACAGTAACTCTAGGTTGAGTATGTGTTACGAGCGAGAAGATTGGTAAAAAAAATGAAATGGTTGTAAAATAAGTTGCTTTTTAGCGTCAGACAAGTGCTGATGGCACCTTGTCCGATTCTTTGTCGGCGATCGCAGGACTTGACGGGTCCCAGTTACCCAAAAATTAGGTACACAAAATGTTTGAATCACGTGAGAAATGATTGTCAGAAAAGTTTTATTTGTGTCAGCAAATTTGAATATCCAAAGGCCCATGATTAAGGTGTTTATTAGGACTGTTAATAGTTTTCTCAATTTATTTGGTGCACCTTTCACCGAAGGCTGTTTTTGTTCTGAAGGAAATCAGTGCAAGCAAAACTTGAATAAACCTGCACTTCTCTTGGCCATAAATGCACATACTTTAGCTTTTTTAAGAGCCAACAGTGCCAAATAATGTTTTGTACTCAGTTGCTCCTGAATTGAGATGCATGGAGGCTCATCCACGACGATTCCATTTCTTTGTTCAATATGCAGCTGGCCAGCAGCTTCACACGGTTCTTCTCAACACGGCGGAAAGACTTTGATTCTGACAAGCTTGGTAGCCGCGTCTGTAGTCGCCAGCTGTCAGGTGGGTTTCGAAACTATTCAGCTTGAGTTGTGGCTCGAAATAGTGATGGTGGCCAGTAGTTGTTGTCTAACGCCGGGCTTTCCCACTCTCCTTCAGAGGATGAAGGCTACGCCGATGCCAAGGCTCCGAAGAAACAGCGGCCGCCTCTGACGCTTCCCGCCATGCCCCCAGGATTGACACCCGAACAGGTGAGGAGCGTTCAAGCTTTCTTTCACCGCTCACCTCTGGTAAAGGTGGTCAGCTTAATTTTTAATGGTCACTGGTGGCTCGGCTCGGTCGACGCTTTTTTGGACCTGCTTTCATAGCTTGTAGTATTGGCCGCCACGTTATTGTGAATCTTGTGCGTTGTCACGAATGAATGGTCCTACTTACTATGACAGCTTATAGTTCTTTTTCAAACTTTGTTCTAAGCCTGAAGGTGCATCACTTGGCAGCTGAAAGAGGGTTGAGCTGCATATGGGTGGCTGAGGAATTTGACTTGTAAACCTGACGTTTTTGTTCAGTGTTGGCGATGTTCTCTGTCGTAGAGAGAGTCTTTACTGCATCTCAAAGGCGAAGGTTGTTGTGTCGATCGACAATTTAATAACCTATAGCCTCAAAAAAATTAATTAATTCCTACAAATTCAAGTGTTTTGTTGTAAGCCACTGTTAACTTTAGAGGGAAGAAGAGTAGAATTCTACAACCTACCGTGAAGGTCCCCGCCCGTTCAAGATGAAGCGATAAGTGGTGAAAAGTAGGGGGGTGCAGCAGCAAAACTTTATCAAAATTAGTGGTAAACACGGGCACCGGCTTCAAACCACATGAAATGGGAACTGATACCGTAGAACCAGCAAACACGTGGGAATTCGCCACAAACTGCTGTGTCATGGGAAGGGATATTGCAGGTCCCGGATGCAGGAGATTTGCGCTTCACAGTGCAATAAAAACATGGGAAACCGCTATAAACTCGCATATTATGGGAGCCGATATCGTGCACGTCGATCGGGGACAAAAAATGCGGGAACCCTCTACGAACTGACGTGTCACACATACTGGTACCGCAGATCATGTAGTTCGGGGGTACTCAAACTTTTCCTTCTGCGGGAACACCAGCAAGCCTCAAAAATGCCCAGGGTCCTCCCCCCTCCCCCTTGTTACCAACCAATAATACTGGGTAGTAAAGGCATTTAGATATTGAACGAGAGTTTCTTGCACTGACAGAATAAGACAAAATAGTGGAGTACAGGCAGGATAAGAAGGCGGAGGGGTTAACATAAGGCAAAATGTAAAATATATATGCATATTAGTGTAGAGGGTAAGGTTGCTTAGCCTGCAACACCAACTCAATCCATGGCTTTGCCTGTGAAAGGGCTAGGGGAGAGTGGGGGCACTGCGATTTGGGTGTTTGCGGAACCCATGGGACCAGCTCACGGAACCCCTGTGTTCCCCGGAACCCAGTTTGAGAACCCCTGATGCAGTTGATGTGAATGCCGTCGGACATCGTGTGATGCTACGCGATCGGAATCGGGGGGCGGGTAATGTTTCCGTCTTTTTGATGTTACGGATATTTGGCCAAAAAACGGGATGAGTGATTTCTGGGGGGAGGGCATTCACACGTGATTTTACGGTAAACGGTTTCAACAACTCCAGCTACCGGAATATCAGAATGGCGTTGCTGTTTATTAGCTAATGCAGCAATGTTTCTATCGGCTCTAGATGAGGGAACTTGTTTTCACTAGTAGTAAATAAATGTTCAAGCTAAAAAAAACTTTGCTAGGGAAATGTAACAAAGATTTGAGGTAGATATGTTGTGTGTAGCCACATATCTCTTATGTAGCAGTGTTTTGAAGGTTTGCTATACCATTTTTCTTATAAAAATGACAGTTTATTTTTTTTGTGTTGCTTTTAGTGTATGTAAGAAAACAAATAGGTAGCACTAAGAAAACTCTCCTAATTTTTGTACCGAAACTATAACATTACATTAATGTGTGAAACATGTTTCAATTTAAAAACGTTTTACAATTAAGGTGAGGCTATTGCAACTGGCTAGTACTTTTCGAGAATTATGTTTAGTCTAAATTGGTTATAACAGACCTTGATAGTAGGTACCAAGATTTTAGTCTGTTGTAAAAGGAGCATGCTGTACTCACCGAAAATCTTATGAGACAAACTGCTATATACCGAGAATCACATGCTGCATCTGTGAAGAATGGAACATTTTGTAATGGCATTTTAACGTTTTTTCAGACCAAGAGGAGACTCATTGTAAATAACATAGTTGAAAGTGAAAACTCCTACGTCGGATCTCTCCAAAGGCTCATATGTGTGAGTACACAGTTTTTCTTACTGACCCTTGTTTGTGTTCCTCACATACATACAAAGAGCAACGTGCTTCCAAGTTATTGTAAACCGAATTTAATCTACACTAGATCGAAATACCTTGGGAAGATAACCAACTGTGTTGACATGGCACTGATTTTCCGTGCTGCCTCAACTTTTAAAATTACAACCAAACATTTAATTTAATAGAATAGATAAATGGGCTAGTTGGTACATCACTCAATGGAAAGTGCCAAATAAGCAAGGACAAGGAAGGGGACAGAGACGAAGTGCATTCTCAACTGAAGGTTTATTGAAACAAACATTGACTATTAATACCTTCTATCTGGGTGTTGGCTCAAAAACAAAAACTCTATCTGTTAAAGAGACAATGAAGGCGATTTCGGATATCTTTTTGGTGATTGAGCTGGGTTCCATGCATGTCTCAGCCCACGTTGCTCAAATTTCAGCCGAAAACGGCGCCTGTGTGCCGCGCAAATTAATTAAACAGTCGCGGTAATAATCGTACCGGGATCGACTGGGGCGACGCCCCGAGAGTTGCGGGAGAAGCCAGGAGAAGCGGAGCTCATGTGACCGATGCGGGGCCAAGAAGCGCGACGTCACAAGAGACGCGTCGGCGATTGGTCGAAATGAGAGACGTGCCCGCGATCACGTTTTGGTTCGCGATTTTTAGGAATACTGTTCTAATTTCCGCTTGAACAACCATGAAAAGTATAATTCGGACCGGAAACGATTACTAAACCATAAATAAAACAGCATAATTGTTTCTTCTCTTTGCTACGCTGTATGCGAAACAGGCAACGAGCAACTATGGGCAAACAAAATAAAATAAAAAAAAGAACACGCGGGAGACGTTTCGTTTTAGTTTCAGATGTCGGTGTCGTGTTCACTTTGGGAACACGGTACTCGAAGGATTCTGCAAAATGGTAGTCATGCCAAATTTGTGCGCTGTAGATGGCTGTTCTAATGGTCGACTGAAGACCAGTATCGTTCGGGCGATGCTAGTTTTCACGTGTGGGTGTCTGTTCATGTTCTTTGACGACGAAAAGAGGACATCCGACTTTGGTGAAAACCAAAAATGGTGCTGTTTATTTTCTCCTTCTTGGGGAGCGTCCCCCACGGAGGAACCGGTTCCCGGAACGGCCGGATCGCTGCCGCTTTCCTCTCGGCATCTCCCCTGCGTCCCTGTTTTTCAACAACGCGCCGCTCTCAAATCGCCCACGCGAAAGTTGCTCATTGCTTCCCTGTTCGAAGCCTGCGGGCTCCTCGTTACCGGCTGGGCGGTCTCCGTCGGGTGATGGCGGAGGCCGCCACACATATACTCCCATTCCGTTGGTATTAGGTCATTGAACAGAAGCTTGAACTGCCCGAACTCGCTCGCGAAAGTGGCATTGTCGTCCATGTTGACAGATTCAACGAAACGACCGCGCCACCGCGCTGCTATAACCCACCGTGGTAACCAGAGTCTCAATCTCCTATATACTACCGATACCGACTATTCACACTCGACGTCACTCCCTCCGTCACCTTCGTTTTCGGAGGCCCAGAAATGAGAATAGAGATTGTTCAGTTTTGGTTTCTTCAGTTATTTCGTAGGCACAAAAATATGTGTCGCAAATGACAGTAAAAAATTAGGCAGCATGCTAGGTTTGCAAGAAACCTAACAACACCATTTAAAAAAATAATAAAATCGTCTTCATTGTTTTTTAAGTGCAGTGACGGGGCACTAATACATAGACTCTCCCCTTGCTCTCTTATGCGGAATGCCTCATGTATTTCTCGTGCTGCTTTGTTTGCGTATCTGCCCAGAACTGTTGTTTTTTTACAATTTCGGGCCACATGGGCACCTATCAAAGTACACCTCAAGATTGCCCGACCGGGACTGTTCCACTGACCAGGCATGTTTCCTTGCCCTCTCATTTATGCAACGCCCCGTTTGGCTCACAAACGATTTCCTGCAACTCATTGGTATGTTATATACCACTGGCATGGTATATAACATACCAATGAGCAACGTCTAGCAACAACATACCAACAAGCAAAGCAAATTTTAAGTTTTTTTTTTTTTGTATTTTTTAAATATTTCAGGTGCATTTGGTTTAAAAGTGTGCTTTTCTTCTAAGCACAGGACAGCAATATTTGTACTTCTTGAAGTGTTGATCATGGTGGGTTAGCTATGTTGAGTACACTCTTTACCGAGCACCGGTGCATTGTAGAGAAGCAACACCTGTGGAAGTTGGCTTTGCAGGTGCTGTTTCTCCGTAACGCATCAATGCTCGGTGAGTAGCGCGCTCAAAGGGGCAAACCTGCTGCCATGATCACTAAGAAAAATAAATGTTGCGGTTCTTCTCAAAACTAATATTGAATAGCGTATTGTTCGAAGCTCTATTAGAAAATCTGAGTATTCACGCACGCCCGTTGGTGTCCATCACAGACATAATCTAATTGTAGATGGCCGCATACCGTCGCAAAAATGTACGATCGGAACGAAAAAGGTGTATCTCGTCACATGTCCCTAGAAGTCCGAAAACGGAGTTCTCCGCCGGAGCCACGTCGCTCGAAACTGTCTTCCCTCCTTAAAATAATGTCTTTCTGCGTAAAGAAAACGGACAACATTTCGAACGAGGGCGTTTGCACAGTGGTTTCCGGCAACTGTCCGTATAGTATGCCAACTTTTGCGGGAGCCTGGTACGTGAGGCAACCTTTTTCTTCCCTTCCGCACGCCGACAGGACTTCAAGCGGCCCCTGGTGAACAGCCAGCCGCCCCTGGTGAGCCAGCGGAAGGTCGACACCATGTTCTTCCGGCTGGAGGAGATCCTGCAGTGCCACACCCTGTTTGGCATCGCCCTCACCCAGTGCGTCTGCGAGTGGGACGAACGGGAGAGGATCGGGGACGTCTTCCTCGCCTCGGTCAGTTCCGTCCGCTTCTCGGGAACGGCCCTCACATAAAAAGGCTGCCTTAGTCCGTTCTCTGATGGCCTTGCGGTGCCCAGAATGCGTCTTCGACCGGTGCGTTTGCTGCCCTTTCTCGCCCGTGCTGCGTCAAAGGTGGCCTGAAGCGACGGCAATTTGCATCGCAGAGGCCGATGCGTCTTGCCGTCGTACGCCGTGATCCTGGCATTTGGTCGTAGAAACGCCGGCGAAGAAGGCGAGTGGATGCAAGGGCCGCCGTCGTTGCGGCATCCCGTGAAGTTGGGAAGCTTCTGGTGGTGACACGAGGCCACCAGAGCTGAAGCCAGAAGTGTGGAAGGACACGTCTTTCAACGATGTCCAAAACCAAGAGATGCCATTGGACGAAAAGGAGAGCCAGTTGCCAGTCAGCTCCCCTTTTTGTCCAATGGCATCTCTTGGTTTTGGTCATCAGTGGGGGGCATGTCCATCCACACTTCTTACTTCACCTCTGGCAACCTCTTGTCACCTATAGAAGCTTTCTACATGCGGCATCCCATCTCGCGTCCGCTTTGGTTTCCGTCGACCGGCCGTGGGGCGACCAGCGGTGGTACAAACGTCTGCCACACCCACCTCGTCTGTTGCGGCAGTGCCAGGATCGCGGCGGTCGGCGGTGTGATGTTTCTGCGATTTCACTGGGCAGAAAGCGAGGGATTGCTTTTGAAGACGTGGCAAATGCGCCAATTGGAGACGCCCTCCGGGCAACGTGAGGGGTGTCGTGCGTCCATTTCTAAATTTCGTCCCGTCTCCTTTCCTCGGTGCGCCCACTCTAGTTCTCCAAGTCGGTGGTGCTCGACATCTACAGCGACTTCATCAACAACTTCAGCACCGCCATGGAGACTGCCAAGCAGGCCGCCAAGAGCAAGTCGGCCTTCTCCGAATTCCTCAAGGTGTGTTTGCCTCTTTCCAGAGCATCTACCGTGGCTTCCTGCCCGTCTTTGAAGTGTTCGATCTCGGTATCCGAAGGGACGGCTTGTTTTGTGTATGTTCCGGAGAGGGGGGCACCCCAACCGTTTGATCTCAATTTGAAGCTCCAGTTGCCTCGAATAAGAGTGGAGGAGCCCACCTCCCTTGACATTGGAAGGAGGAAGTTGAGAAGTCAACGAGTTTTACAAGCTTGTTAATAACAACAATGTGCACTCAAGGAAAAGGGAATGAGAGCCTTTGGTTGTATTCTGCATCAATGAGTGGCTCAGTTATGCTTAAATTTTTTAAACTGGAAAAACAATTGGCTTGGGGGTAAGAAAGAGGATTTAGGTGTTCAAGAAACCTGGGGGGAGCGGGGGGGGGCATGTCTCTATCTGGTTGTGTTTTACATTTGCATTTAAGCATCAACTTATTTGACAGAAGTCTGTCTGGTTGGGTTGTATGGTTGTGTCAAAAATTCTCATTTGTGGACTCTTAATTTTTTTTGTTGACAATACCTGTGTGTCTTAATTTGGGGCAGTGGATACAAGCTTTCTAGTACTTCCCAAGGGGAACCTGACAGGATGGCATATTGGGTACACAAGCCGTTGGATGAAAAAAAAAAGAGCAGTTGTGCGACAAATCGCTTTCGAATTTCGGTATCCACGAAATGGTTTCAGCCTGCGACGGTTACTTCGAATGACCGTTGCACGTGTTGGGAAATGCTGTCTTCTGGAGGTTACCATGCCTAGACTACCTCCCTTGCAACTTTAAGTTAGGCAGAGATAACACGAGCCTCGAACGCAGTGTGTAGGAAGCAGCTCTTGATCAACTGCAAGCATTGAGGTCCACTGCTAGAACTGGCTTGTGTTTTGTGGCACTCAGTCACGCGCTCCCCCACCCTGTGAAGAAGGAGCGGGTCCAGGGAGGGACTCGTACAAGGTGAGGCTCTTTTCGCCGAGTGGCGAGCGTGAATGCCGTGCGATGCACCCCGTTTGTTTTTGCTTCACCCAACCACCGTTACCTCCCTACGTCGCCACCACCGTTAGCGGTGACCCGTGTGCCCATCCGAACTGCAACCGGTCCACAGTGCCTGATCCCTTTGGTGTGCTGCAACCCCAGTTGGGATTCCTTGGTTTTTTCTGGTTTTTAAATTGCAAGATGCATCTTATTGTTTGTTCCCGACCGAGTGTGCCCCGGTGCATTGTTACAGGCATAGAAGTGTGCACTCTTTGTCTTGCAGTGCCCTGTTTTGTCACTCGAGAGTTAATTTTTCTCACAACTGCGTTGTAGCTATCATTGGTAGTTTAAGAACTTTTTTTTTTGCAGTGGTTATAGTGGTTTTTGTTTGACTATGCGCATAGCATCCATTTCATACTTTTGCTGCAAAAGTTTGTGTGGTCAGCTTACGGCAGCTGTGATGAAATGGGACTGTGCAGTCTTAGGCATAGTCTTATAAAGTGCCTAATGGTGAGCATCTGAATTCCTTCATTGTCATAGCTCTGCTCTCATGCTGGAAGGCTCACCACAGAGGCTTTGATTAAAGCGAGAAGCTTGTCCGAGTTAAAAAATTAAAATTTGAGGGTGTTATGTGCCAAAGCAACGAAGGGTACCTGGCACGCCCAACAGAGTACTGAGGATTAGTTTCGACCACCTGGGTTATTTTTGTAGTGTAACCGAAATCTCGGTTACAGGGTGCTTTCTCCGCCATAAGCCTCTGCCAGATTCTGGGTAGCGCGGCCGGGATTCGAACCTGCTACCGAGGGATCTCCGTAGGTTGACGCTTTGCCTCGGAGCTACAGGTGGCCGCTTGTCTGAATTGCTCCGAGTGTTATGATTAAGGTACCCAGGAATGGACTGGATTATCTCTGCTTTGCAAAACTAAAGACTGCGTGAATTCTCCGGTGGCTGTGTTTTGCCCTGCCTGTAGAAGACGGGCAATGTCGTTCACAGTGCACGGCATGCTGTACATGCAGCGTGACTTAGAATGTGCACCCACATGCGCACCTATTTTTTGGTTCCCTTCCGTTTTTGTTTGGTTTTTGCACTGTAGCTAGATTAGCACCGTTCCATGTTTGCTCAGCTTTAGAAGCACCTTTGATGATCTTGTTTCCTTTTGCTGAGACATATCTTGTCTGAATGTCTTTTTTTATTTGTTTTGCATATTCTTGACTGCTGAATGCCACATTGTTTACTTTACTTGGGACCCATGATTTGTGCAATAATTGTTCTGGTGTTTGTATGGCACCATAATTATGTGCTGTTTCGGTGATGTTGCTACTTTCTAGATACTAGTAGGTATGTATAGCTTGGACTTGAAAGGAATCTCTTCAAACCTCATAGAAGGAGCTAATGTTTTGCTAACATTTCACTAAGAAACTTAGCTTCTTCTGGACTAGATCTCTCAGTGAAATGTCAGATGCCGTTCTGAGGTTTTCAGGAGACTCTTTTCCAAGTTCTTCCTACCAAATTTTCGCCCTTCGGGCTTTATGTATAACTACTTTAGACATGGGAACTAATTCAGAAATGGGGTCAGGTATCCGATCCATCTTTTGCCTAGTTTCTGTCGGGTGAAAATTTTTTTTGATATAAACGTTATATCAACAGCTCTTAAAAGGATGTCAACTTTCCGGTTTTGTCAAGTTTTGTTAGAAACGCTATATTACTCTGTTATAAAACGAATTTGAGACTTAAGCAGAATGTCAGATGTCTATATATATCGAGCACACCCTCTGTCGTATTTGACCACAGTCGGGTCGGTAAATACAGTGTAATCTCGGTAATTGGAATCCGAGGGGAACCAGAGCTTTGAATAATGCCGAGTTTGAATTACCGGGAGTTTTCTTCCTGTAAACACATAGGACGGAACCTGCGTGTTAGTTTGAATTAACGAGATTTCACTGTATAGGTGGGTGACTTTGCGTAGCCGGCCATGCTCACGAGTTGTTCCTTTCCGCGGAGCAGATGAAGCAGATCTACAGCCCCGACCGGCTCTCCTTTTTTGGGCTCATGGTGAAGCCTGTCCAGAGGTTCCCGCAGTTCATCTTGCTCCTACAGGTGATGCCTCGTTCCGTTTTAGCGCCTCTCTTAGTTCTGCCCTATTTTGAGCTGTTTGTTGTTATAGGGGTTGTACAGTAAAACCTAGTTATAACAAAGTTGAAGGAGCGGTTGTAATTATTTCGTTATAACCATTAGTTTGTTATAGCCAATGTCCATTTCTTCCCACTATTAGCAAGCAAGGGGAATTATGATTGCTTTGTTATATCCATTAGTTTGTTATATCCCATTTTGTTATAACGGGGTTTTACTGTATTCGGTAGTACAAGGTGGAGTGGCGCTAGCTTTGGAATGCTTTGTTGAGGACTGTCAAATTATGTTTTTATGGGAGGGTGGGTGTGGTTTGAAAGCTTTGTCTTAGTATAACTTTGTGTTACCTCCTAATCTTGGGAAAGAAAGAATAAACAAGTAGGACAAAGACGACACGACCGTATCTTTCAGCTAGTGACGGACATATAAGAGTTCGAAAAGCAAGCAGCCAATTAAAGAGAAAAAAAACCGAGAAAAAGGAAAGTTACTTTTCCTTTCCTCAATTTTCCCGCTTTTATATTGGTTGCTTGCCTTTGGAATTCCTATATGTCCGTTGCTAGTTGAAAGATGCGATTGTGTCATCTTCAACTCGCGTGTTTATTCTTTCCTCAATCTTGGCCCGCACCAACATGCTCTTCGTCTATTAAGGGGCTTGGACCTGCTACATAGTTTCACTTTGTGCAAAAGTTCTAATTTTACTTCTGCTTTAGCAACATAGGCGGAAGTGGCAGGGTCACCCAAAACTCTGTCGTTTTCCGGTGCAGGACCTGCTGAAACAGACTCCCAAAGGCCACCTGGATCGCATGTCCCTGCAGCTTGCGCTCACCCAACTGGAGCTCCTCGCTGAAGCGCTCAACGAGCGCAAGCGGGCCGCTGAGCAACACCACGCCGTGCTTCAGGTCTTGGGCTCCCTGGAGTCCAAGTTTTCCCTGAAGGTATGCCAAGCAATCTATAACTGAGTTTGGCTAAGAGGCAAGGAGGGGGGGGGGGAGGGGGAGGGGGGAATGGCAATGTCTAAACTGCAGGGTAGCTTCTAGACAGTTTTTAGAGCTAGTTTGATATCGGCTGTCTCGACTGGAAGCTGAGGAGCCCCTGTGGTCTCGGCAGTGGTTTAATAAAGCATCACAGAAGCCTGCAGACCTTTTAAATGATAGCATGCATAATAGGGAGTGTCTGGCTCATAGTTATACATCAATGGATGGTTCAGATCTCTAAAACAATGATGAAACAGGGGGAAAAAAAAACTATTTACTTCAAGGAGGGTCGAGAAGATTTAGGAGCTCTGGGGAACCCATGAGCATGCTTTAGGGGACATCTAGGTTCCTTGCAATTCAGTTTGAAAATCCATGGTTTAAAGCAGGGGTTCTCAAACTTTTTGGTCCCACGGAACCCCAGGAAGCCTCAAAAACTGCCGCAGAACCCCTTCCCCCCCTCCATACAGTATAGACCTCTTACAACGTAACCGCTTATAGTGCAGAACCGGGTATAACGCGGCTTTTTTAAACCACCGGTTCGCCTCCCATAGAACTCCATGTATTTACATACCGCTTAAAATGCAGGCGCGCGAAGGAAAATACCAGTTATAGTGCGGTTTTTAGAACAGCCCGACGACCGCGCCGACTGACTGCAGTGAGCACGCTTCCCTGTACGACACTAGATAACGGCGCTAGCCGCAAGTGGCACTCGCGGGGCAAGGAGGTTGCTCGAAGAAGCGGGGAGAAGCGAAGAGAGAGGCTTCAGTTGCCATAGTGACGGAGGGACGCACGCACGTGTCGTACACGTGCGTGCGTCCCTCCACTGTAAACAACTGCAACCGCAGACCAATCGCAGGTCGAGGAGAAGTGTTCGCGCGCGTTGCATGCCGGTCGTGGGCCGACTGCTTCTATCTGCGAACATGGCGTAGGTTGTGATCGTCGACGTAGTGGTGGAACCTCATCGTTCCACGTAAAAGCGCTATCCTTGACTGTGAATTTTCGTTGTGTGTCGCTATGATAACCCAGCACGTAAAGATCCACCTACTTGTGCGGCGATGTCGTGGCGGCACTCTGAAGACGGGAGAAACGCCCGTGTCGTCGTGTTTGTTTATTTCGACTACAGTGGTGCTTTCTAGGCATTTGTGTTTGCGAACATCGCCCGGATTTTTTATTTGGAGCATTTCATGCCCGTGCTCAAGTTGAAGGTATTACTGGCGCGTACCTTATAAAGGATGCGAATTTTCACGCGTTTTCATCGCCGGAGAAAAGTGATTAGGGTTAGCAATCCTGAACGCTCGCAACGTCCGTCCGCAACCCGCGACGCCGTTAAAAGGCTGCTCCAGGCAAAAGTCGCTCATTTCTTTCAAATGTGCGACACACTTGAGAGAGAAGTGTACTAGTCTAGTGAAATAAAGACTTTCCTCAAACTAAGCTTTATTTTTCATCTAACATAAAATAAATTCTTTTAGAAAGGTAAGTTGTCTCATGCCATGTATTTTGGCCTGAAAAATTGATGTTTTGGTTATAGTGCGGTACCGCTTATAGTGCAGATTTTCGCGACTCCCGTGACATACGTTTTATGCGGTCTACACTATATTTGCCAACCGAGAAGCAACAGATGCACAATTGTAGGCAATTTTCTTTGTGTTGTTTCCCATATATCCCCACCATATCAATCGCGATGTCGATACAAAGTGAGATGAAGGCGTTTGCATGGTCCTGCCGCGCAGCCTTTGGCGTGGGGGAGGGGTGGGTTGCAATTTGGGTGTTCGTGGAACCCATGAGACCAGCTCGTGGAGCCCCTGTGTTCCCTGGAACCCAGTTCGAGAAACCCTGGAACTTTAGAGGCATTGTGAGACGGTTTCAGAAAGTTCTTTGCAATGTGTCGACACCGAGTTTTGAGGCCTTGCTAGGTGACTCCTGGGACAGTTTGCTCGAAATAAACTATTTGATCTTATTTAGGACAGGCTCAAATAAAAGCATTGCCAGGGCTGGTTAGCTTTTTAGTGAAATATTTCAAAAACTCTTAGGCTTAGCTGTGGCAGGGGCCAGAACCTCATTTTTTTGAAGATGCCAAGTTAAGTCATTGAGCGCAAACTATTTGATCTTATTTAGGACAGGCTCAAATAAAAGCGTTGCCAGGGCTGGTTAGCTTTTTAGTGAAATATTTCAAAAACTCTTAGGCTTAGCTGTGGCAGGGGCCAGAACCTCATTTTTTTGAAGATGCCAAGTTAAGTCGTTGAGCAGCGAATTGGGATCTCTGCTTTCAAAAGATGAAATTTTGTCTATGATCATGCTTCCATTTGTGATGTGTATGGCCGTCCAACTGGTTCTGTGGCAGACTTATATCTTCTGAAGCAATGACTTAAACGGAGCTATTTTGTCATAGAATGCTAACATCTTGAGTGTAGTAATAGTCACTGAGGGCTTTATAGAATGACGGAGGGGGGGGAAGGGGCTTTGATTTCTTCGACCTTCAGCACATACAATGTTTTTTCATCGTGCTAGCTTTGAACATGCATGCATTGTCAAGGCACTGCTAGGACCATAACATCTGAAATAACCTTTTCTTGTTGCTAAAGTTGGTGGCAGAGTGTGACAGTCAGCCATTCTGTATCCCCCCGGCTGAATATACCATTCCTTTTCTCAAGGCATTGGCTGCGGCTGCGGCTTCTTCAACATCTGTGGACGGTGCCGACCACTTCCTGCTACGGCAGGACGACGTGCTTCAGCTGGTCAGTGGCTCCTTGCCTCCTGTTTTCTTTGTGCCAGTGGCTCCTGCCCTGCTTTTGGTTATTCTAGTGTGAAAACGCATGTCGAGTGATCTCTATTGAAAACAAAGGATGATCAGCTATTGTTATGAGAGATTCTGGTAATGCATTCAATTTTTTTGACCACCTGAGACTGGGTGGAAGAAACACGACGGCGTCTCAACGTCGTCGTGTTTCTTCCATCCAGTCTCAGGTGGTCTAAAAAGTGGTAAACTTACACCAGCTTGCCTGCACCCTAACTGTTTTTTCATCAATGCATTCCAATCACTTATACACAAAATGAGGGGTGAATTTTTAGAAGTGTTAGCTCTAAATTGATTCTTACATGTCGGAGAGATAAGTCTGATGAGGGTTCCAGATGGTAGAGGCGTATTTCAGTTTGGATTTGACAAGAGTGCAGTATGACAGCTGTTTTACCTTTGGTGAAGCCTGATGAAGATGGCATCTTTAAAAGCCACTAAAATTATTCCTCAACATGCGTATCCTAACTAGACTGTTTAAAAATAAAATATTTTTTTAAACAGTGTAGTTAGGATCTGCTTGTCAAGAAATAAATTTTACGCAAAAATAAAATAATTTTAAAGTGATATTGAGGGCGCAACACATGATTTAGTTTGTAGTCGTCTCCTTTCAACTTGTTTTCTCTCCTGGCATTTCAGTCGCATGGAGGAGAGGTAAATTGGTTTGGCCACCACGTTGAGGTGGAGACAGTGTATGACCATTTCATGACGTCATGGACTTTGCATGCAGAATTTGAAATAAATCTCGTGCCAGCAATATTGCTAAAAATATTCTTTTTTTTTGCATAGAATTTATTTTTTGTCATCCCAACCAGACTTTTTAAAAAGTCTTTTTTTTTCTTTTTCTTTTCAGTGCCCTTTAAGAATATGAAGGTTTTACTTGCGCTTGAAGCTATATGTTCAGTATGAGTTTTCCATGACAGGTCGGGAGTGAAATGAACGCCAAGGTATTTAAAAGAAGGAGCTTTTTCTAGTGGAGTGAGAGCGAGTTGATAGGAATAAGTGATACCTTATAGGCTATGATGTTGGAAGACATACTTCCCCTCACTAACACGCAATGTCGTTTCTTTGTAGGAGGTGGATCAGAGTGGCCTTGTCATCAAGTCCAAGGCGCGTCGCATTTTCCTGCTGAACGACCTTCTTGTTTGCGTCACCGTCACGTCGAGGTAAGACACACGCAAACTTTTGCTTTGTTGCGGCTTTTTTAGTTTGACTGGTTTGCACTCATGCAATAGCTTCAAGAGTCTTTCTACTTCATACAAGAGGGGCATCTCACGGCCACCTCTCTGTTTCCCAACAGACGAGCGGCCGTGAGAATACCACTTTCACTTAACTGCCTACTTTCCCTGCTGGCTGGAATGCCCCTCCATCTTTGTTGCCCTGTTAGTTTTTCCCTTTCTTATTTTCATCTTTTGCGTGTTCCGGCGTACCGTCATATTTTATTAACAATACTAGCAGGGACACCCCGCTTTGTGGGCAAAATTTTCGGGACATACCGGGTAAATACACACATTTTTGCTTCATTATTACGGATGGCTCCCATTACGAACGCTTTCCTTATCAACCAATATCAGTGATGTTTGCAGACGAGGTGGGAATGTAGTTCCAGTCTATCTGTGCTTGAGGCCTGAAAGAATATTTAAATAACCAAATTATATTTGGAATACCAACCTTATAGTTATGACCAATGCGAGCAGATATGTTGAGAGGCGGAGTAAGTAGTTTATGACGAAGGGTAACATTTCAATGAAAAATTTCATGAAAAAGACACAGCTGAGAGATTTCTTGGGGAATTTGTAACGGCAGACCTGGAGTGTTTTTCATGGTAGAAATTCTGGCAGTGTGATATTAGTTTGTCAGTATAGAACAAGCGATGAAAGTTTGTCAATATGAAACGAGACATGCGAGGTTCCTTCTTCTGTTGTTTTTCCAGTGTGTTAATTGTTGTTGGATCGACCTGCGTGTCTTCTCCTCCTGCACAGGCCGTCCTCGGAGGGTGGCCACACGGGTGGTCGGGAGCGCCTGAGCCTCAAGTGGGCCGTGCCCCTGCAGGAGGTGGACGTGCAGGAGGACATTGCCCCTGCCACACGCAATCTGCTCGCTTCCTCGGGGAGAGCACGCAACTCGGCCGGACGCCTCATTCCCATCGGCAACCCTGGAGGTAGGCAAGGGCGGCTCGGGGAACGACTTTGTTCATGCGCTCACCAGCGCGTGAATGCGGCGCCGATGCCCCACGACTTCGCCGTGACGTGAGTCGCTGCGACTGTACCGTAAATTAATGCAAAACTACTAATTCTTTTTTTTTTTTACACTTGTTTATAATATTATTGGGCAGCCTTGAATTGTGAGCAGAGTTTCCGAGCCCACTGATCCAATGGAGATGCTGTGCTTTGTTTGCCACGTTTCGTCGAGAGTGCCAGAGCAGAGCGGCGAAGCTTGACCTGCTTGGCCGTTGAAACGCGGCGAAGCTTGTTGCAAGCGTGGAGGCACCGGGTCGACTGTTTTAGAAATTTCGACTACGATGTGACCATTGCAGTCGACGAGCGAGTTTCAACCAGGGAGACCAAGGGCATCTTAAAATAATTGTGTGCACGAGTTTCCTTCCCTTCTACATATTTAGAAAACAGGGTCAACCAATATTTAAAAGTTATTTTTATTATTTTTGGCGACAATTATGGTTGACCTGCATTTGGAGTCGACCTACATATGAGTAAATACGTCTCTGCAGTATAGGTTGAGTGGGCCTGTGAGATGTTACAACTCGGCATGCGCACTGTTCGAATGCTCTCGCGTTATTCTTCCTATGCTTTTTAGCAGCTGTGCATTAAATGTCTGCATGTTGACTGTCTAAGGTCATGTGACCTATATCATGCAATATAGGATGAATCACGTTCGGCTTACCTTGTAACTCAAAAATCACATATGGGCTTTTTTTTTAATTATTTCTAGCCTTTGGTGAAGTTAACACAAAGAGAAGTTCGTCAGAATTAGTCGTTAAAAATAACTTGTTTCAAGCGCTGCAGTACGTTAGCCAACAGTATTTTGATGGCCGTTCAGGTGGCAAACATGAGTGATGTGTTTTCTGGACAGATTGTTGCAAAATTCGACATTATTATTATTTTTTTTCCTGCTTTTACAGAGTGCTCTGGGTCGATGCAAATTCTCTACGACGAGCTGACTGACCTTGTCCACGACCTGGAGGTCATGAGTCGGATATCCGTGCTAGTCACGTCTCTCAAGAGGCCTTACCCGGTGAGATATAGTATGCCCTTGTTTCTCTCTAGAGAGAGAGATGTCCACATTTTCTTTCGTGAATGAATACCATGTTTTAGTACAGTAAAACCTCGTTATAACAAAATGGGATATAACAAACTAATGGATATAACAAAGCAATCATAATTCCCCTTGCTTGCTAATAGTGGGAAGAAATGGACAGTGGCTAAAACAAACTAATGGTTATAATGAAATAATTACGACCGCTCCTTCAACTATGTTATAACGAGGTTTTACTGTACATACATTTGATTAGGACAAAGCGTAAAGCGCCAATCACACTCTTGCGACCGAGTAAGACCGAGAGAGACCAGACCGGTTTTTAAGCCTCTTGTGACTTCTTAGGACCGGATGCGTTGCAGCGGAGCTGGTCCTAAGAGATTGCAAGAGGCTTAAAAACCGGTCTGGTCTTTCTCGGTCTTACTCGGTCGCAAGACTGTGAACGGGCCTTAATGCCTAGCAACATACAAATGGAGCATGTGCTTTATGCTTTGAGGCTACTGGAGAACAAAACCACAAGGCAAAAACTTGTTGCTTCGAACACGTTGTGTGGAATTTCCGGGATGCCATTTAATGTCGCCTTACGGTTTAATCCTTTTTGGTGGAATACTCGTAAGTGGAGCCCTTTGCAAAGACAAACTTTGCAAAATGTTGCTTGCCGTGCCTTGTGCAAGAAGTGTCTATGATTCTATTTCTTTTGGTAGTCCGAACTATGTCTTGGTCACAATCTCTAATAATAGGGTCTCCAAATGGCGTTGTGGTTTGGTGGTCATACCTCAAAAGAATCTAAAAAAATAAAAACTAAATGTCTAATCAAAAAAAAAAAAAAAAAAAAAGGCTTTTCTACAGATATTTTTAGGCACGCTTCTTGCAATGAAAATACAATCAAAGAATGTAAGGCACAACTCAAGTCGTCGTTCGGCCGCCGTCTTTGTGGGGATGACCGGCAGGCGACATGGCTTGAGAGAGCGGTGTGAAGTTGTGACGGCGTTCCCCATCCCCAGGAGATCACGTGCGAGACGGTGCAGAGCGTGACACGCAGCATCCAGGAAGCGGTGCGCCACAAGGACGAGGAGATCACCCTGCTGGACAGCTGCTGCCTGCAGCTGGCACTGCCACACAAGTCCAAGTGAGGGCATACACGCATGTCGCATACCAAATAGCTAAAAAAAAACAATAAACCTAAAAGTAATAATATTTTTTTCTATTTGGTTAGGACAGGCAAATCCCAAAATAAATGCTTGCTAAAAAAATTAATTTTTTTTTTTTCCCCATTATTTATGTTACAATACGTATGTTTCGATTTGCGGGCGAAACCGAAACTGGTTGGATTATGATGATAGCGTTTCTACCAAACTAATGCGTGCTCCGAGTTTGCTGGACCTCGGGGCGCACACTATACACCATTTCAAGATAACTTGGCGAACTGTGGAGGCTATGGCCTCCGCGACCCAATAAGAGCGTGAGAGCGAGGCACGTGACCCGACATCACGGGAGCATTTGTGTCACCATGCGAAATGCGAGGCGCAAGGCCCAAAGGAGCCGACTGTAGTCTGCTTGCCAAGAGTCGTCTGCTGCGAAAGCAACAAACTTCAGGTGAACGCCCACTGCTGCAAGAATGATGTCTGCTAGAGTAGCAAACTTTTCGAGAACAGTTCATGAGACAACCGTGCTCTCCATTTATATTTACCCGCAGATCTGTGGTGGATGCTAATGCCAAGGCGATGTTTCGAGCGGAAGTGGTCCATTACTCGGCTGCGAGCGTTTAAACAGAGTTCAAAAGTCATGTTGTTCTCGGAAAAGGGTTGATCTGTATTAAGTATTGTTGAAAAGTAACATGCCTCGTCTTTCTTCCGTGTCGGGTAGTGTTGTGATCATAAGGGTCTGATTGCAACACTACTAAAAGAAAAAGAAGCCTACAACTACCTTTTGTCGCGGATGGCGCTGTTGCCGGGGCAGTAACGAGGCCCTTGTGGCCTCGACCATGGAGTGTTGTCACGTGCCTTTCTCAAATGCTCTTACTGGGGCGTGGGGGCCACAGCCTCCACAATTCGCTAAGTTATCGTGAAACAAAGTATAGTTGGGTACAAACGCTATCATCATCCCACAGGGGTACAGTTTCAATTTTTGCCCTCAAATCCAAAAATTAGTATTGTAACATAAATACTGGGCAAAAAGAAATTTTAAGGGCGAAGGTCCTTAGGGTCTAGCCTTGTCCGGCGTCCGTGCGCACATCGATTGCCATCCCATCTGTCTTCTTAAAAAAAGAAAAAATGTTTGCGCAGTTGACAGGATTCGAACCTGTGCGGGGAGACCCCAATGGATTTGTAGTCCATCGCCTTAACCACTGGGCCACGACTGCGGTACGAGTAGGGGGCTCTGAGATGTGGTAGTAACTCAAGAGCTGGGGGTTTCTGTCATGGATGAAACGTTGCATGTAGCCGCTCAACGTCTATACAGGAGAGGGCGCTGCAGTCAAATGCGTATATAATCGCGTTAAACTTTGCATGCATTGGCTGAAAGTTTATAGACGAGAGGGCACTGCGGTCAAATGTGTATATAACCCTGTTCCGTAAAATCAGTATCATCAGCACCACCAGAGCTTCGCCCCAATCAACATCATTTACCACATAAAGATGCGGTCATTTTTTTTTTTTTTTTTTTTTTTATTAAACATTTATTTTTAAACATGCTTGTCCTAACTACCGTAAAATCCCGAGAGATGCCCCACCCCCCCTAAAGATAGCCCACCACTATTTTTGGCTTGATTTGCTATATTTTTTTAAATACCGAAAGATAGCCCACTCCCAGTAATGGTAGTGTTGGAATCAATGATGGCCTCGGTGTAAATGCAGCCTGTTAGCTTTGGCGGGATATAAGCGAACACTGCTGACAGGGAAGTACAGTCTTTTTTGCTTTGTTGCCTCTTGCCGCCTTAACAAGCCTGGAAGGTACACAACCTAAAAATAGCAATTTTTTAAAAACTTTTCTTGATTGTACATTGAAAGTTAGCCCAGTCCATATTTTCAGCCGATTTGCTCTTGATGTTAGGTGGGCTATTTCAAAATTTTACAGTAAATAGCAAAAAAAAAAAATATATATATATATATATACAATCGAGTATCGTTAAAGGGGCACTGAACCCCAAATGTCGTATTTTTTTTTATTGTCTAAAACGATGCAAGTTGCAGTCGTAGACACTAAAAAAAAAAACGCTTCGCGAAAAAGACTTTTCTGCGCGCTTGCGCGCGCTCCTTTTTATTTTTGGCGTTTGATTCTCCTGCCTCTCGCCTCCTCGCTCCTTTTGATTCGTGACGTCAAGAATCATGAAATTTAGAAGCTTTGTAGGCGACATCTCTATAACATTTAATAACGGCAATCCTAAAACATGTTGTTTAACGCAATTGCGAACGCACTACGGCCCTTTTTGAAATACCAAAAATCGGGATTTCGTTGTGGTGCCGTATCCTGGGTTTGTATCCTCCCACAGAAAACAGGCGACACTGCTCAAAACCGGTCCGCCGCAACGCCGACGCTCGCTCCTTTCCTCCTCGCTTTGGGTCGCCATGGCAACAGCAGGAAGTCGTGAAAGAAAGTGGACTCTCAGGACTCCGCAATATTTGACATCAACGCACCGGCGCGGATCGCGTGGGAACTTCGAATTCGGCATTTGGAAATTGTTTTTTTACTTCACAAATACTGAATTCCCAAATTTAAAATTTTGAGGGTAATGTCCCGGCATCGTTTTCAATTGTTTCGGATAATAAAAAAATATATGATTTTGATGTGTCAGTGCCCTTTTAATTCAAACTTGAGGGGGGCCAAAAATTTGTTCAAATAAAGCAAAGTTTGAATTAGCAGGAGTTTCCTCCCATAGAGACACATAGGATGGGACCTGCACGTTAGTTTGAATCACCCACAAGTTTCAATTAAGAGGTTTGAATTAATGAGAGTCGACCAGTCGACTCTCATTAATTCAAACGGTCTTTATTAAAACTTGCGGATAATTAGAACTAACATGCAGGCCCCATCCTATGCGTCTCTATGGGTGGAAACTCCCGGTGATTCAAACTCTGCTTTATTCAAACAAATTTTCGGTTCCCCTCGAGTTTGAATTAGCGAGATTTGACTGTATTGTAAAATACCGGGCAAGCGCCCGCTCAAAATTTAGAGATAATCGTGAAAAAATGGGGGATGGGTGCTTGTCCCATCATCAATTTTACATATAAATGTACTGTGCATATTTTTTCACATCTTAGAAATTTGGATATGGCCGCTTAAGGTGGAATGGGCAGATGCGCAGTATTCTACGGTATATATATATATATATATATATATATATATATATATTTTTTTTTTGTAAGGGTAGTATTTTTTTAAGTACCGAGCAAGGACCCACTCAAAATTTGGGGGTAACCTCAAAAAAGGGTGTGATGGGTGCTCGTTAGGTCCAAAAGCAGAAATGCAAAACGTAATGGGATGGGCTTTACCGCTTTGCACCGGGTTGCTCGGAGGAGCGCCTCGCTAAGGGGAGTTCTTGTCATGTTGTCGTGGATTCTTGTCGCGCATGCTAGCATTATAACTTCATTTGCAGATCCGTTCTCTTTTATGTACATGTTTTCGCTTTGCATTTGTTTTTCTCTCCCTGCAATCCAAGATTTTTTTTTCGGTGTGTGTGTGTGTTTCTAAATTTTTTTTGATTGACTGTTTTTATTATTTTGTTCTGACTGATGCTTACACTGAATGTACTCCCCCTCTTGTAATGCCTTTATTTGGGCCTTTGAGGTAACGTGAATAAATAAATAAATAAACGCCTCAACTAGCCGGGTAAGCTCAAGAGTCTGGGGTGGACACTTGATATGCCCGTTGCTTAGGTTTTGCTAGAGGTGGGCTAATACTCGGAACGTACAAATGCAAATTGAATAGTAAGTTTCCCAATAATTCAATTCACATATCGAATTCCTAGTGTTTAGCCGCTCGAAATATTCGACGTACCCGGCGAGAGACACGCTGCCAGCGTGGAAAGGACAAAAGAGTGTGTTTTCTCGCTATGTTAGCATAGTGACGTTGGACAGATCGTGCAAGAAACGCCTCTTGATCCTATTGTTCTGCAAGAATCTAATGCGCAGGCTAGGAAAAAAAAAAGAAAAGGAATGGCACAAATATTTTTTGCAGATTTAATCACTATTTTGACTTAACCTTGAATATCAACCAAGACGTCCCGCTTGTGCAGCTTGCAGATATGAATAGTTGGAAAACTGGAATTCCAAGCCGTGCCTAATTTTTTTTCACGAGGAAAGCCTCTCATTTTGAATTGAAGCGTCGATATAGAACACACTTGGTACACTCGCAAAAATCAACAATAGCGAGATTGCAAAAGAAAAAAAACAAAAAACATGTTAACCACGCTTTAAAAAAAAAAAAACGTGTTAACCATGTTGTTTTGGCAACTCAAACTGCAAGTTCGGATTCAAAACGAAACGGAACCGAAAAAGAGTAGTGTTCCTGGATTTGAGAGTGTTTCCAGCTGTTCGATAGCCGCGTTTGAACGTTTACAATACAAACTGCGACAAGGTGACAAAGGGACAAAAGCGTCAATCTCGTAGAGGCACCGTCGCTCTTCTGGCCACATAAAAGTTTGGGAGTGAGCATTCTGGACTTAGCTACGGCAGCTTTTGCCATGCTCACGTCATCGTTTTTAACTTTTTGCTATGCTAAAAAAAAGAAAAGGCTTGGAAAAAAAAAAAATGGACGCATCTCCTTGTGGTGAATGATGTTGATTGGGGCGAAGTTCTGGTGGTGCTGATGATACTGATTTTGTTGTTCATAGGTAGTGCTGATGGTGCTGATTTTTTTTATTGCTCATAGATAGTGCTGAGTTCCGGGTTGCGTTTTGACTTCATTATTACTGCTTTATGGTTGGTGAAATGCAGAGCCAGTGGTTCTTCTAGCGAATCAGCTTGGATCCGCTTGAAGCCGTGGGAACGCATCTCCACCGCTTAAGTCAACGGTCCATGTCAGAAAGAGAATGTGTGGTATGGATCGTGGTTATATGCGCAGTTGAGCATTTGACCGCAGCGCCTTCTCGTCTATAAACGTTGAGCCAATGCATGCAAAGTTTAATGCGATTATATACGCATTTGACCGGAGCACCCTCTCCTGTATAGACGTTGAGCGGCTACATGCATCGTTGGAGTGTAGCGTAGTGGTCAAGACGTCTGCCTTGTAAGCAAGCGGTCCTGAGTTCGAATCCCTGTGCGGGTGTACATTTCTTTTTTTTTTTTTTTAAAGTGGGCTGATCTCTGAGGCAGTACAATCGATGTGAGCACGGACGCTGGACAAGGCTAGACCGTAAGGAGCTTTGCCCCTAAAAAGAAACTGATTGTGTTAAGGAAGGTACAATCTTTCAGTACGTATAGTCAGCAAGGGACTTTCATTTTATTAGTTAAGACCCGGTTTGTTGTGCCGTGTTGTCTGTCGCTGTTTATCATTCAAACCACAGCGGTATTGCACAACTGCTGCTGCCTACATGCTCAACAGCAGGGACTTTCTATTTTTTTTTTCTAGACAAGGTAGATGCCACAGTTTTATTTATTTTATGCTTGGTCTGGGGGGGGGGGCTGCAGTTTGGGTACAAAGAAAGTCCTGTGTAGTACGAGAAATAGTTGAGCACTCGTGGACAAGCTAGAGTAATATGGTTCTATTTATGGTTTCAGTGGGAGACGCTGAAAAAAAAAATTGTAAGGGCAAAATTATACGAGCTAGTGAGATATAATGGTGCAATAAATACAACACTGTGACCACATTCAGGGGTGTCTTACTGAAACGCGCAAGTAGTTTTGCAGTGGCCTTTGTTTGCATCCAGGCATTGAAGGAGCATTTTTCTTTGCTTTCAGATCCCAGAAAGTGCAAGTCAGTTTCCAGTTGTCGAGTCCCGCAGTGAAGAGGGACTGGACGACAGATCTACGACTGGCAAAGCTGGCCTTAGGTATGCAGCTGGGTCGTTTTTCGAATTTTGTCTTCAGCGATTTAGAGGCCAGGCTTTCTAGCTGGCAAGTGGTGCCTCAATCCGTGCTTAGTACTATAACTTTTTTTTGTATGGAGGCACTTTGTGATGAAATAAACTGGCACAATATATATTTTAAGAGATTATTTGAATTGAAATTTTATTTTTTGAGAGCCAAAGAACTTCTTCCTTCATGCCAGGCAAGTACTACACGATTTTTTAATGGACAAAACGGGACAAATTTACTTTATTGTAAGCCTATAAGGTGTGCTATGCACTTGCGCATTAGACATAGTATCCTCATAATTTGAATGGCAAAGCACTGGCGCTTCTTTAGACTGTGATCATTGTTGAGTCTGCCCGTGAAGTCTCCTTTCCCTACATACAATCTTGAACTGTGTAGAGGTTAGAGTGGAAACCTCGTGTCTGGCACGTTTGGGCAGACATAGTTTTACTTAGCAAAAAGTGCAGCAACACTGCCTTTATGGAAATAGGAACACCTTCATTAACCTTTGCTGCAAAACTGAAGTGGGGGCTTTCCTTGAGCGCGGTGATCACCCAACCACATTAAATGACGTTAATTGCTCACCATTAGAATCTTGGAAAAGATTCTGATCTCCGTGAATGAGAATGGCAGGGATGTGCCTCTGCGGTGCCGCCTCTAATGGAAGCTTGCCAACGACCTTGCCAACGACCTTGCGCTCGTGCTGGAGGCTTGAAATCCAAAAGAGTCACCCTGCCGTTCCATGCTCATCCCGCGGCGACCGTAACGAGGTTGCCCTTCCCGCCCGCGTGCAGACCAGAACAACATGCCAGCCTGGGACGTGCCTGAACAGGACAAGCGACCGTCCAGCAAGCTGCCCCTGCTCGTGCGGCTTGTGCCCCTCTACCCGGCCACCACCCCTACCGAGGTGGGTGGCCACGTCGCTCCCACGCATCCACAGAGAGAATCGACTTGAGCAAGGACACTACCTAGAACAAAATGAAAGCCGTGTAATGCCGAATTAGAGCGCAGCTCTTTAGGAGGAGGGAAGGGTACTGAGGGTCACATGTTCTCGAAGGGCACGTGACCTGGGGGTGTCACGTGACCTCGGGGGTTTATGACCCCCCAGGTCACGTGACCCCCAGAGAAATTTTTCCACTAGATTTAGCGGGGAAATTTTTCCGCTAGATTTGGCAGGAAAATTTTTCCGCTAGATTTAGCGGGGACGTGTTTCCACTAAATCTAGCGGGGAAATTTTCCGCTAGATTTATCGGGGAAACTTTTCCGCTAGTTTTAGCGGGGAAATTTTTCTGTTAGATTTAGTAGGGAAATCTTTCCGCTAGATTTTGCGGGGAAATCTTTCCGTTAGATTTAGCGGGGAAATTTTTTCATTCGCTTTCTAGATTTAGTGGGGAAATCTTTCTGCTAGATTTAGCGGGGAAATTTTTCCGCTAGATTTAGTGGGGAAATCTTTCCGCTAGATTTTGCGGGGAAATTTTTCTGTTAGATTTAGTGGGGAAATCTTTCCGTTAGATTTAGCGGGGAAATTTTTTCATTCGCTTTCTAGATTTAGTGGGGAAATCTTTCCGCTAGATTTAGCGGGGAAATTTTTCTGTTAGATTTAGTGGGGAAATATTTCCGCTAGATTTTGCGGGGAAATTTTTCTGTTAGATTTAGTGGGTAAATCTTTCCGTTAGATTTAGCGGGGAAATTTTTTCATTCGCTTTCTAGATTTAGTGGGGAAATCTTTCCGCTAGATTTAGCGGGGAAATTTTTCTGTTGGATTTAGTGGGGAAATCTTCCCGCTAGATTTTGCGGGGAAATTTTTCTGTTAGATTTAGTGGAGAAATCTTTCCGTTAGATTTAGCGGGGAAATTTTTTCATTTGCTTTCTAGATTTAGTGGGGAAATCTTTCCGCTAGATTTAGCGGGGAAATTTTTCTGTTAGATTTAGTGGGGAAATCTTTCCGCTAGATTTTGCGGGGAAATTTTTCTGTTAGATTTAGTGGGGAAATCTTTCCGCTAGATTTTGCGGGGAAATTTTTCTGTTAGATTTAGTGGGGAAATCTTTCCGTTAGATTTAGCGGGGAAATTTTTTCATTCGCTTTCTAGATTTAGTGGGGAAATTTTTTCATTCGCTTTCTAGATTTAGTGGGGAAATCTTTCCGCTAGACTTAGCGGGGAAATTTTTCCGCTAGATTTAGCAAGGAAATTTTTTCGCTAGATTTAGCGGGGAAATCTTTTCGCTAGATTTAGCAAGGAAATCTTTCTGCTAGATTTAGCGGGGAAATTTTTCCGCTAGATTTAGCAAGGAAATCTTTCTGCTAGATTTAGCGGGGAAATTGTTTCACTAGCTTTAGCGGGAAAATTTTTCCGCTAGATTTAGGGGGGAGATTTTTTTTGCTAGATTTAGCGGAGAAATTTTTCCGCTCCATTTAGCCTGGAAATTTACCCATAATTCACCGCACAATACACCGACAGCTCAAGCTGGAAATGCTCAAGCCGGAAACGGGCGCCTAAAAGCTGCGCTCTAAAAAACATTTCTGCAAAAAATTTTGAGTTTGAAAAATACCATATTTATATCTGCCAACATCTAGAAAGTATTCCCAAAGTTTAATTTGTTTACGCTACATAGTTATTTTTTTATAAACTATTTTCGGTCCACCGACGCTAAAGAAAAGGTAGAGGTTGGAGCACTTTTAATGTGTTTGTCTCTGTTCCACTTTTTGGCATAAATTTCAATTTAGGGTGACTGTCGTTTGGTAACGGGACAAAAAAACGGCTCAATTTTTTGTTTCCCCTAACTGGAATTTAATGGGCAATGCAACTGTGGCATTGTTTTTTTTACTTTATGAATGTCTTTTATGAACAATGTTAAGATTTTGTTGATGACATAAAAGGCAAGAAATTTATTTCATATTTCTTTGCAATGTTAGCATAAAATAAGTTAGGTACTTTTTGGAAATTAGTTGTCACAGTTGCACTCCCCAGACATTCTACTTCTTATTTAGAAAGGAAAAAGGTTGGGTACTATTACATTAGTTTCTGATTGCTAGTTTTCCTAAACAGTGGTAGGGTGTTCCTTATAAAAAGAGCTATATCTTTTTTTACAACTTATGTACACCAACGAAACTTTGCACTTCATTCTTTCTCACAACTTCCACTATATACAGTTGAATCTCGTTAAATCAAACTCTCTTAAATCAAACTTGCGGATAATTCAAACTAACATGCAGGTCCCATCCTATGTGTCTGTATGGGAGGAAACTCCCGGTAATTCAAACTTTGCTTTGCTCAAACAAATTTTCAAAATCTTTGAGTTTGAATTAACAAGATTCGACTGTACTTTAAATTTTAATCTTATTAAGCCAAAGGTTTAAAAGTTGACCCTTTTGGGTGGCGTCCTCCCTTAACCTTTTACAGTCATGGACAACTTAAAGGGCCCCTAAAAAAAAAAGAAAAAGGATGTTTTTTTCAGACAGTCTGGTTGGGACATGCGTGTCAAATTAATTTTAGGCCCCCAACAAAAAATATTTTAGAGGAATATTGACGGCGCCAGATGTGATTTAGTTTGTAGTCACCTCCTTTCCACTTGTTTTTTCACTCGGCATTTCGGGCACGTAGAGGAAAGGTGGATCGGCTTCGCCTTCACGTTGAGGTGGAAAGAGCGAATGACCACTTCATCTTGGGTGAAACCAGCTGAACGAAGGAAGGAGGATTGTTTCACCCAAGATGTATCAAAACCAACGAGCTCAGCTCATTTCCTTAGTAAGACCACTTCATTGAGCGAATGACCAGTCTGCGACATCATGGACTTTGCGCACAGAATTTCAAATAAATCTCTCGCCGTAAGTATTGCTCTATAAAAAAAAATTTTTTGACACGCGTGTCCCAACCAGACTGTTTACAAAAATTTCTTTACAGTGGCACTTTAAGAAACACACGGCATGTCCTGTCCCAAGTGTCCCATTATTGCCCCGCAGCCAGTGTGGCATTAGCCGACAAGAACGCGGCTGAAAAACAAATTACAAAGTGTAAATGCAGTAAACCACACCCTGAATTTCTTTAGCTGTCGGTGACCATATTGGTGCATGAAACGACGTACACCAATTGCTTGACTACTTGAATTGTAATCTTTCCGTTGAGAATATAATTAGTTAGCACTCTCACGCTGTTTTGAATTATGGGGTATGTAATTACTGTGGCCATTGCTAAAGGAAGAATACCCTCATCCTCCTACGGCCGAGGGGCCTGTTTGTCTCGGAGTTGAACAGTGGTGTTATAGGCCGCCCGAACATCTGTTTTGGCAGAAGACGAGAAACGGTGAGAAGACTAGTTTGGTGGCCTTTTCCTGTTGACGTCGTCCAGTCAAAATAAACGTCAGAGAGGCTCTTTGCCCGATGGCACTCTCGTCCAATTAAGTACGCCATCCTGTTTTTAACTTTTACTGAAGCAGTCGCGTGCACTATTTTTTTTGAGAATGTGCCAACATTGCCTTGTTGCGGCTTTATAGAAAGTTGCGGCGAACACGGGTACAATTTGGCTTAGGGGGAAATACTACCTGGAACAAACTTCGAGGGACTCCAATTTAAGGTTTCATTAAGTGAAAATTCACTCAACTAAATGCACTGGACACAGTCAAATTTTGCTCGGAACTTTTACGAAAGTTTTGTCATCCGAATAGTTTGTTCAACTAAAGTTTGTTCGAGTGGTGTTTCACGGTATTTATTTATCTGTGTGGGCACCTACAGCACCATGAAGCATTACAGTAGTGGAAGAAGAAATTTGCGAGTTGAGGGAGAAATAGTTATAGAGAACCTAAAATCTTGTCAATCACAGTATCGAAAAACATTTTGAACAGACCCTTTCCAGGATTGTGAAATGATGCATAGATTATGCACAGCCACCAAGGCACCATTACAGTGAAACCTGTTTAGAATGAAACCACATACAGCGATTTACGGTCGATATCGAACTCGCGGAAAATTTTAATAAAAATGCAGGTAAAAAGTACTTTTCATAACGAACAACATATATTGGCTATATCAAACTTTTTCCCCCGAGAAGGCTTCCAAAAATGCGCAAACAATTGTCTTCTAGCCTGTCCCTTCCCCCCCCAAAAAAAAGTAGGATAGAAAGAAAATTCCAAAAGCTCAAGTTGCGAACGAAATTGAGCGAAGAGAAGCGATTCAGAAGGGGGGAGAGAGCTAAAAATTACACCCTGCAAGCACGCACAGAAAAGGAAACTTTTTATCCCGAAACGGTTGCCCACGAAGAGAAGTGATTGAGAAGAAAATATAAGCTAAAAAAACAACTTTTCAGTACATTGTTACGAGGCGGAAGTGAAGAGATGAGAAAGAAAGAGAAGCTCTCGTCTTTCAACGAACGCATCGTAAAAGTTCGTTGTAAATGGTTTTTGCTGTATTGAATTACTTGCTATATTGAACTGATCGTGGCGTTTCTTGCTGTTCGTTAGGGGTTTGACTGTAGTTGGTCTCCTTGCTTCTGGCGTGAAACCCATGATTGGTCCTGAGCTTGTGCTAAGTGCTGGCGCAGCACTTGTGTGGAATGCTTTTCGATCCATGTACACTCCAAATGCTAACAAAGCGCTCGCGTCCAATGCGTGCTCACAGTTCATGACCAACTGTAGTGGCTGCACATAATCTATACATCATTTCGAAATTTAAAAAAAGGTTTATTACACAGTACCTATCGTAACAGTTGGCGGGCCGACTTTTGTGATGAGCTGGTGGGGGCTTAAATTGATCCGTCTTGTATCCTGTTGCTGACGGTGCCTCCTCCGAATTGTGCTTGCAGGTGAAGTGTGGCTGCTTCTACAGCGTGTCCCCGTCCAGCCCCGGGGGCCTGCGAGCCCAGTTCCTCTGGCTGTGCAGCACGGATGGGGTGAACAGCCATCTGGTGATCCTGTCCCTGCACCACATCGCCCTGCGCTCGGTGGGGGCCTTCGACCTGCCCGAGTCGCGCATCGCCGCCATGGAGGCCGTGCCACCCCCGCCAGACCCCGAGGCGCCCCAGGCCCCGCCTCCCCCGGGGGCCGCCGAAACTGTCTGGATCACCACCGAGAGCAAGAGGTAGTGGCCTCTGGGAAGGCGGTCTTCCACGCCTTCTTTACGGCGCATTTCATTTGTTTGGCTGTATGTTTGTTTGTATGCTCGTGTGATCTTGTTCTTATTACTCTGCATCCACACGCCTGTGTGGCCTCGTTTCTTTGGGTGTGCATTTGTGTGCTTGTACCACCTCTCCTTTTGCGGTGTATTATATGTAAAGTTGTAAAGCATAATTTTTAAAAAAACTTTAGCATTTGTGTTTACATTGTTATTCTTTTTGTTGTGCGATATTGTGCTTATACTGTCCCATTCCTTTTGCTATGTGTTTCTGTGCTCATATCATCTCACTTCTTCTGCTATGCATATGTGGGTTTGTACCATCTTGTTCCTTGTGCATTGCATTTGTGTCAGTATTTTTTCGTTCCTTGTATCTTTACATACTTGGCCGATTGCCTGCCATCAAGAGTTTCCTCGGCCAGCATACGCAAGCAGGCTGCTTGGAATAAATAGAATGGAGACATATTTCAAATCATAGCTTTCCTGAAAGTGATCAAGATATTATCTAACAGTTCCTTAAAAAAAGAAGAAAAGATATTTGGGTTTAGTTGTTGAAGGGGTTTGCATTTTATAGAGGATGTTTTTCGGTGTTTATTTATTTTCAAAAGACCGGTGTATTTCGGTGGAACGTCTCACGACGAGGCTAAAAACGGTGATTATCGGTGGAAAAAAAAAAGCGGTTGATCACAGACAGAGTTCCAATTTTATTCACATAGTTCATACACTTCTTCTCTAGGAAGCAACTATTTCTCACACTTGGTTATTATAGTAGATGCAAGCATACTTTCATGCTTGCATCTACACGCAAGGAACGTGCTGCCGTCACGGCAGCATGTCCCTTGCGGTTCGCAACCCGTAATTATGAAAATGCAGGCTCCTGTACGACACGGACGTTGGCAGTGTCTTCCAGGAACCACAGCAACCTCAGAATACATGGCTTGCACCAACATCACTTGGCCAGACACAATGAGGAAAAGGCACGAGAGAGCCTACCCTCCCCTGTGTCAATTTTTCCACAAAAGGGGGCCATGGGAGACACAATAGGGGAAAGGCGTATGAGAGCTTAGCTTCCACTGCGTTCACTAGACGCTTTTGACCCCCAGAAAGGAGGGTGGACTGGCGCCACCTGCAAGCCATGTATAAACACTGGAAGAATGCAGCATCCACGAGATAACACGTTTGACGAACCTCTACGGGGAAAGAGTTTCGCTAGGTCGGAAACTAGCAACGACCGGTGTTTTTCGGTTTTAACCAGGGCGAAAATATCCAACCACCGGTGTTTTTCGGTTTTAACCGATTTTATATTTTCGTCACCGACGGATGTTTATCGGTGTTTTTCGGTTGAAACCGGAGAATGCACACCCTAGTTATAACCGATCATCGTTGTATTTGGACTAGAAACTGAGCGTTTCTAATCTAGAAACTCTAGAAACTGTTCGTTGTAGGCAGCACATTGTTATATACAGGGGTGGAAGCGCTGCGCCAATTGCGCCACCCTGCGCCAATTCACTTCCCTACGCCAGCCTGCTCCAAAACGCCAATTTCAACTTTTTTTTTTTTTTTTTTGTGTTTTCTCTAAATTTAGCGGAAAACGGTTGGCCACGGGCCACCATGAGGTGTGTACTTTTGCTTAGGTGTCACTGCGGGTGACTCGTACCAACTCAACTGGGGCTCCGAACCATCTCTAACCTCAGGGCGAGGCGTCGATTTTAGTTCATCGAGAGTGCGATGTCGTTTTTTTACTACAAAGAGTTTATATACGAACACATCGGTTTGGTTTCGGGCATAGTTGGTTGGCGCGGTTGGAGCGCGCATGCAGTTGCCCGTGGTCCCGATTTGCCCACCGGTGCCTCGGCACCGGTGGGCTACCTTGGCCATTAACATGAGCAGAAGTAAGTGGTCTTTACTAGCTTTACCTGTTATTTGGTAGCCTACCATATTTGGACGCTTAGCCGTGAAGAATCGCGAGCACAGGCACATCCGTTCTCGAACTCAATTTGTCTTGTCAAAACGAAACCAAAACCATCATTGTGTGCGCGAATGTGCACGCTGTCGTGTGTTGTCTACCGCCGTCAAACCACTGGCAAAAACAATACCCGTGATCTTAAGCGAGTTGGTTAATTGGCAGTGCTACACACTTTCTTGTTTCTTTCTTTTAGCGTGGAGGAGTGGGGGTTACATCAGAAATGCCGTACAACACTCCCGCGCTGCCGATTCCTGTCAAGAACGCACCTTAACTTGCTATAGCCACTCTACTCGTACAAGTTTCTGGTTGGGGGGGGGGGGGGGGGGGGGTAGGGTTGGGTAGGGTAGGGTAGGGTAGGGTAGGGTAGGGTAGGGAGAAGTTGGTGGGCTTTTTGTCACGTAAGAAGGCAGCCTGCCCCGCAGGGATCAGCGCCTGATCAGCTACATCTCATTTTCAGTCTCGTTCAAACTGTCTTCTCTTAAAGCACTTCTACTGAGTGCACAAGAACTCATAAGCAAGGGTGAGGCAGTTAAGGACATGGACAAGGTGGGGAGTGGACACCTCCTGCTAAGAGATGTGAACTCTAAACTGCCCAAAGTACTCGAGCGCATAAAAGAAATTGACTTTGCTGTTCAAACTGTGAAAAAAAAGGTGAACTTCAGTTGTATCTAAATTACACAGATTCAGCTTAGTCACAACCCTTTTTTTTTTAACATGGAGCCTGTGGGCTCTTCTAGTCAGTGTTTATGCTGCATATGTATTAGTGGCTGTGATATTTTTAAGACAATATATTTTTCCATCCAAAGTAATTAGATATAGCTTTGTATGTTAACTTGGGTGTACGGATTACTGTATTTTATGAACAGGGATTAAGAACATTTGTATTTAATGAAAACAGGTCAGCAAGGACTGCTTTACTCTGAAACATGTTGTGGTACCTTAATTTTTTTTATGGAGACACGCAATGCACAGCATTTTATGGAGTACATAAGGTTGCGTTGCTCTTCTAGTCGATGCTTAAAGCTGCATATGTACGAGTGACTGTGGTAGTCTAAAGATATAAAATACACATTTTATTTCGCATCTGAATTTTTGTCAAATGTCAGTAGCCTTGTATTTTGTTACTAAACTTGATATAGGGCTTTTTAAGTAGTGATTGAACATGTGTATTCTTTATTAAACAAAAACTGTAGTCAGCGAAGGTAGTTTATCTGACTCCTTGCAGTGGTTTAGTTTTCTGGATACATGTTGACAATTGGTCTATTAAGTAGACGGTTTTGTACTGGCGTGGCTCAAGTTAGGCTTTTATTGTCGGGGCCTCCCATATAAAGTCTATCATGACTCTGCCTGCTGCCGGAATGGTTCTCAAAGCCTTTCCTTTGCATAAATTGCCAATATTCCATATTTCAATGCAATAGAAATAGAAAAATGTGTATGTATGTTGCTTGAAAATTATTCTGGGATGTGCATGCATATATTTTTGCTGCATTTTCACATTTAGAAACAACAAATCACTTTTAGACATTTGTTTGACCTCCGTGACCTGCTCCAAAACCTACTTCTACGGCTACAGAACTTATTTTTGCTGCTCCCGAGCTGCTCTAAAGCGAGCGTTTTACTGCTCCAAAACTGCTCCAAAGTGGGACTTTTGCTGCTCCCAGCCCTGATACAAAAGGCTCTAGCCCGCTTCCACCCCTGTATATATAGTATCGCTATAAGTGGATTGCACTGTATATAGCGCACTGCCTTTCACCCCCTTGTTGTGCAGGCTGATCCTGCTGATGGCCTCCTGCCCCGACAAGTGGACGGAAGTGGGGAGCACCACCGTGCTGGCACCAGTGACCCGGATCTTGTACCACTGCGAGTGCGTCTATGTGGCCCTCACTAGCGGCTCCCTCAACATCTACCGCAGGGACCCTGGTGAGGGAAGGGCTCTGTGCTTGCCCCTTTAAAACCTAAGTAGTAAACATGACCATGTGCAAATGAGTTTTAATGCTATAGCGATTAGGAGCTCATGTTGCTGAAAATTCGGGGTCGGTGGGAACAATCTCGTAACGCAATGCGCGCAGCCATTTTTGACGTCGCACGTGGCTGTAAAGACATGACCCCATTGACCCGCTAAATTTGGAGGGAAAATATTAGCTAAATGTAGCGGAAAATTTTCACGCCAAACTTAGCAGGCCATTTTTTCAGCAAATTTAATTGAAAATTTTCTTGCCAAATTTAGCGGGAAATTTTCCCGCCAAATTTAGGAGAAAATTTTCTCGTCAAATTTTGGTGAAAAAGTTTTCTATACACCATCTCATTTTTCTATACACCAACAAACAAACCAGAGCGCCCCTAGTGGACGCCACCGACGCCGCGCATGCGCGATGGGGGTGTGGGCAAGAAGCTCGCTGTCGCCCATAAACAAATCATTGGAATGAGATGTTTTCGGTGTCTGTGTGAGTCCCCGCGCTCTTTTTCACGTTGGAATTGTTGATTCTACGTCTTCCTGGCAATGTCTGACTACTTGAGCGGCCTCAGCGAATGTAACGAGGCTCGTTACACCGCAAAGCTTGGCGTGAATAATGTAACATGCGGTGATTCATTCCGCATGGTCGCCGCAGAATGGACGCTAAAGCCTGATTCACATGGTGAGGTTCAGCTCGCTATTTTCAGTCATGACGTAGCTCAAGCTGCAAAAGCCTGAACCGTAGCTGAGATGTCGATGTCGATACTAAAAATCGCAAGCAGAATCGGACCGAGTGATTCAGGCATAACAAGTCGATGATGGCCACTGGTAATAATTATCAGCATTTCCTTATATCTACTGTTTACACCGAGCCTACTTCCCCGAAGCAACCTTCAAACTTGGACGTCTTTTGAGGTCTGCACTTCTTATCGCAATTACCGGGTCAATGTTTGGTCTACGGGCCGCTGTCGTTTGAACGAGCAGACGACAAGCAGAAACGTTTGAGAGAGCAGACGACAGCTCGAGCGATGAGGCGCCCGTTTGATTGTGATGACGCACTGAACGGTAATCCGCAGGTGGTCCGTGCAACTTGACGATTCTCCCGCATTGATGTTGGAACAAAACAAATAAATCTGACGACCACAAGTATATGTGAATTCAATCCAAAGTGCTTCCCGCCCAAGCAATCGTGGTCCGACGGCGTCTGTTTTTTCGTTTTCACGGCCCCTGTCCACGTTCTCGGACGAACCGAGCAGGCAGAAAACGCATGAAAACTGACCTTCAAACCTTTCTCGACTCTTTAGGTACAACCTCAGTCACAGCGTTTTGATGAGAAGGCAGGTTTGCATCCAGTTTCTTCCAAAGTAACACAGGAATGCACATGCCTCACAGCCCCAGACCGGAAGTGCTCTTGACGCGCCATCACCGCGCCGTGACGTAACAGAGATGAGTTTGTGTATAAATTTAGTGGGTCAATAGGGTCATAACGTCACAGCCACGTGTGATGTCACGGGATGCTACTGACTAGACCACGCACACACACTTTTAGAGCGCAGCTCTTAGGGGCCCGTTCCCGGCTTGAGCGGCGTCGCCGTCGCCGTCGGCGTAACCAAGGTCACCCCAAGGTCACGCGACCCTCCAAGGTCACGTGGCCCCCAAGGTCACCCCAAGGTCACGTGACCCCTCCCCCAGGGTCACGTGACCCCCGAGGTCACGTGACCCCCCAAGTCACGTGACTCCCCTCCGAGGTCACGTGACCACCCCCCAGGGTCACGTGACCCCCCGCCGAGGCCACGTGACCTCCCCGATGACGTCATCGTCACTGATGACGTCACCGGCATCCACATCGTCATCGTCATCATCACTAATGACGTCATCAGTGACGTCACTGATGACCTCACCAGCATCCGCATCGTCATCGTCATCATCACTGATGACGTCATCAGTTACGTCACTGATGACGTCACCGGCATCCGCATCGTCATTGTCATCATCACGGATGACGTCATCAGTGACGTCACTGATGACATCATCGGCATCGTCAGGCGACCCCCCAAGGTCACGTGACCCCCAAGGTCACGTGACCCCCCCCCCCCCAGGTCACTTCACCCCCCAGTACCCTTCCCTCCTCCTCCTCAAGAGCTGCGCTCTAATTCGGTGTTACAGGGAGTTGTAAACGGCTTTCACTTTTTTGTAAGCAATACAAAGATTTATTTTGTTACCTCCATCGTTTTTCTTTCTCACGCATGTACTCCGACTTAGGGGCCGTGGAAATCGGGAATTAAATGTTGAAAAAAATATAAGTTTCTTTACCTCCTTTGTTTTACTTCGTCACGGACGTCCTCCAACCGTAAGGTCCTTGCCACATCATTCGTGTAGGATGGATGTGTGCGGATCACGGAGTCCGCATTGGGGTATTTGGGGGTGTGGGCAATCACTTGGTGTTATTTTGGAAATTTTGATATTCGCCCAGAAAGTAGGGTGGGCAACAACTTAGGGATGGGCAATGACTCGAGATATTGCGTAGTTTTATTTTACAGCTTTCTTCCGAAGAAAAAAGGTGGAGCATGCACCATGCTTGAGCAGGCTTGCCAGTTTCTCTTTCTCATTTGCACTTGACCAGTTTTGTTCAGGATTGTGAGAGAAAGGCATTTCATACATTGTTATGACATCTGGACATTTGTTTCTAGCAACCGGCGGCTGGGACCTCAACTCTCCCGGGGTCCTTGTACTGGGGACGGAGCCCATCACGTCCCTGCTACCTCTGGGCACATCTCTCTACTGCGCATGTGCAGACAAGATCTACGTTCTCGACGCCTTCACCTCAGACATTCAGGTGTGCCAGTCAATTCATTGGTACATACTACGCATTGTTGTTTAGGGTTTGTGCATTTTCACCATCCTTGCTTTCATTTTCACTTGATGTGGTTGTTTTACCGCTTTTGACATCAGGTGGTTGCTGTTTGTACTTGTAGATGTACTACATTATCGATGCTTGAGACAACCGACGCCTGCGTGATCTTAACAGAAACAGTTTTAAGCAATTTTTATTTGCACCTTTCAACTTATGTCATTAAAGGTGAACTACGGCCTCGTTATTCGACGCAATTCTCAGGAAAGGTGAGCCCAACACATTTCTGCAATGGAAGAGGCAATTTTCACTTGCAGTTAAAATTATTTTAAGCAAATTTTGACCAGTTAATGTGTTCTTCTGGGCCTTTGGAGGATTTTGCTGTGTTGCCCAGATTGTTTGGAGGCTATAGTCAGAGGCAATGTCTGTTTTCACTTTGTATAAAGTGTTAGCTGTACCAGAGAGTAAACAGTGTTCATGTCTGTGTGCAGCGTACCCACACGCTGGGGCAGGAAGACGGCAGCCAGGCGTATTTGATGGCCCACTCTGGAACGGGCCTCTGGATTGCCCTGAAGAACTCGTCTCGCATCAGCCTCTACCACACGGAGACCTTCAGGCATCTCCAAGATGTCGATGTTGCCGATGGCGTGGGACGCTTCCTTGCCGGTGGGTGCCGTTGCTTTTTTTGAAAGGGCCGGTACGAAATGGAGCCGAACTCCTGTTGTTTTGAACATGCTAGGGGCACTACAGTCAGTGAAAGGTTAAGAGCATAGTGTGGAAGCTCCTCCCATCTGCTTTCACTATAGCAGAGCAAATGCTGAATAGGGGGTAGTTTTCTTTCCAGCGTTCATTTTGCTAAAGTGGAAAGAGGGGGAGGGGGGAGCTTCCACTTTACCCTTAAAGGGATACTGAACCGAAATTTGGATTTTGGAAAGTAAGGCTGCAGAAGTGTTGAACCGGACGCTACGAACTCCAAAACATCACTTGTACATCAATATCTTAAACGGATGGCCATACTTTTGGAAAAGAAGGGCGCGATCAAGTGAGTTCTGTAATGTAACTGTCCTCCGGGAGAATTTGAGAATGAGCAGAAGTGGCCTCGCTTCTCTCCTCCTCGCTTCGGTTCACCAGCTTGACGGGACGTAGTGAGGAGGACAGAGAATGGGAATCGTGACGTGCCTTTTCTCGTCGGCCAGGTTCAATCGCGCACTTCTTTTCCAAAAAATACGGCGATCCGTTAGGTATATCGCCGTATGAGTGACATTTTTTGGTTTTGCAGCTTCCCGCCCATCCGCCCGGCCTCGTTTAGTGAGCTCGAAATTTCGGTTCAGTAACCCTTTAAAAGGAGACGCAGGTCTTAGAGAAAAAAAAAAATAAAGTCTACATACTTCAAACTATATCTGTACAAAATATTTATGCTAAAATCAATTGCAAAGTAGAAAAAAAAATTAGCATTTTGAGGCCGGAACAGCTCTGTAGTGAAGCACGAACTTCAAAAATAATGCCCCACTTCGCACAATCGCGATTCCGAAACCGCTCCTCCAACCGCCGCCATTTCGGTATGGTTTGAAAGCTGATTTCGCGCTCTTTTGTTTGAGCTTTTTCTTTATGGCATTAGTGCAACATGGCCTACGCTATGGCCGTTCTCCCGCAGCCCAATTTCGAGCCACTCATTGGCCGAAGCGCGCGCTCGCGGGAATGCGCTGTTGCCATTGGCTCCTCTCTCCCTTCATCTCAAATTTCCTTCGCTTGACGGGTCTTCCTCCTCCCCCGTTCGCTTCTTCGGTGTCTTCGGGGCTCTCTCCAGCTCTATGTCATACGCTGCGTTGTCTGCTTCTGCCTCCGAGCTTGCTTTTGTTTCGCGATCGGATTGCTTCTAAATGTTGCAAACATTACACTTTCTAAATAAACATAGTGAAATACTACATAAACAAACTCCAGTTGAACAAACTACACAGATAAACAAATGTTTGTCAAGTTACCCAGCGAAACCCCATTTTGTCCAATGCATTTAGTTGAGTAAACTAAGTATGTTTTTTTGGGGGGGGGGGGGGCGAGGGTGGCCCATTGAGGTTTGTTCAAGTGGTGTTTCACTGTACTAGTCGGTTACGAGTCAAGAAGGTAGGAGAAGCTCCTCCCACAAGTGTGATGGGCCCGTTTCAAATCTCTCCGCAGTCGAAAGAAGAGTTCACTGGAAACGCTCCTTGTTCCGCTTCAATGGATTCCCACTTGTCTCCGATCCCACTTTTTAAGAAAGCAACGTTTGTTTTCATCGGGGGCGGAGAAGCTAATCCCCGAAAGTCGTATTTGTTTCCGTCGGTGGGTGAGAACTCTAATCTCCCTCTTGTGGCTTCCACAATGCTAAGTCAAAGTCGAAAGATAAAGCAAATATGTACAGAAAGGCAAGACCCTCCTCGCGCGTTGGCCGCGACGTCACGGAAACGGTGGGACGCTGTTGGATGCGGAGGTGGCGGAGGGATATCCGATTCCCTTTGGGGGGCATTTGCCACTACCTTCTTAACCTGTAACTGACTATAGCATCTGTGTTTTCAACTACGCTAGACAGAACTGTTGAAATTAGAGCTGGAAAGCACCTCTTTCTCACAGATGCAAAGATGAAGCAGTCTTTTGTCTGGTAGCGTGCTAGATATCAATCAGCCTCCTGCAGACTCCCTCGACCAAGTTTGGGTTGGAGCTTCCAATTTCTGTGTTCGTGGTCATCTATGCTTGCAGCCAAGCAGGGCAGCGTGCGTCCCCCCGTGACGGTGACCTCCTTGGTGGCTGGCCGGGGCCTGCTGTGGGTGGGCACGAGCGCTGGGGTGGTGCTCACCCTGCCCCTGCCCCGGCTGGAAGGGGTGCCCATTCTGGGGGGACGCACCTATCTGGCACACCATGGGCACCGGGGACCCGTCACCTTTCTGCTCTGCCTACAGCCCAGGGTGCACCCCGCACGCAGGCAGCCCAGGGTCAGTGAGCCAGCCTTTGAGGGGAATCTGTTGGCTTTCAGGAAACAAATATACTGTTGTGTTCCTGACTGCTCTCGTGTGCGCGTTGGGTACGTGTCAACGGTGTGGGGTGACGTAGCTATATCCCTTTACTGTCAAACCAAACCAGCCAAAATGGGAATACAACCTTTTGCGAATTTCGGCTAGCAGGGGATCCTGGAACACTCGTGCCGGTGTTGGATCGGTGGGTGCAGGCATGGAATCCCGTGTGCCTCTCTTCTGTCATCGTCCTTTTAGAGCGCAGCTCTTAGGCGCTTGTTTCCGTGTTCCGTGGCGTAGGCGTAACCGCGCCAACTTTGGCGGGGAAATTGATGTCACGTGACATCAACACCGCTTCAGTTCCTCACTAAATTTAGCGAGGAATTGAATTGGTGTTGAGGTCATGTGACGTCAATTTTTTCACTAAATTTAGTGGGGTAAATGACGTCACATGACCTTGTGTCACGTCACCCATGAACAAATTCAGCTTCTTCGCTAGGTTTAATGGGAAAATTGATGCAATGTGGCCTCAACACCAATTCAGTTTCCCCGCTAAATTTAGCAGGGAAAACGACGTCACACGACTTCGTGTCACGTCACCTATGAACAAATTTAGTTTCTCTGCTAGATTTAGCAAAAAAACTGATGTCACATGACCTCAACACCAATCTGAATTGTACGGAGGAGGAGGTTGGGCATACCCTCCCCTCTGTATTCTCCCCTCTTCCTCCTCAAAAGCTGTGCTCTAATTTTGCATTACAGAGATTTATAAATGTCTTTCATTTTTACGGCGGAGCTGTTAACCCCTTAACTGGGTACTTTTCTGACCAAAAATATTTGCAAAATGGGGAGTTTTTTTTTTAAAGTGTTTTGAGCTCTCGAAGCTATAACAATGATCCCACAACCTAAAACAAGTTTATTTACATCAATTTACAGGGTTCACCACACATTTAGTAGTTGGTCTTCGTATGGTACTCCATAAAGCACGGAGCGACGCAAGGAGCCACACTGCAGTCTTTGCATCTGTAGATTGTCTCTTTTCTTCGGTTGTGTGCAAGGCACACCACACACCTCTTGTGAGGGTGCTTCTTGGTGCTTTCCCCTTCGTTGAAATCGGGGAAATGTCGTCCCAAGAGGCGTGCTGGAGAAGGCTTCGATGGTGGACGACCAATCTTTGCCGCTGTTGCACTTGAAGGCCCATAGGTTTCGAACAGGCTGTTGGAAAGGTTCAACCGGAACGTCAGCTGGTCTGTTGCAGATCCCAGCTTTGTCGACAGGATGAAGCAGTTGAAGACGGTCACGTCAATGAGGTGCCGGAACATTTTCATGTAGTATTTCTTGAGTCTCTTTCTGGCCATACTGTACGTCATGACGCATTGGTCAGCAAGATCAACACCCCCCATTCCCTTGTTGTAGTCCACGCAGGCTTTTGGTTTCTGCACTTGCTTTCCTGCTCTGGTGGTCACGCTTGACATCTCTCCATCATGAACGGTGCTTATCATGAGCACATGTTTTTTGTCCATCCATTTTACCATGCACAGTTTTCCACGGAACTTCACAAAAGTTTCGCCTTTTGCCAGCTTCTTTTCTTTCAAGTCCTTTGGGATTTCCTTGCGGTTTACCCTGCAAGTTCCAACGGCGTCAGTTTCCAACTTGCACAACAGGTCAAAAAGCACTGGCGAGCAGTAATAGTTGTCCATGTGCAAGAAGTAACCCTTGCACAGGAGATCTTGCGAAAGTGAAAGCACAACTTGGGATGGTTTGTCAAGTTTCGATGCGTCAACTCCGGAGATGTTGCATTCATACTTTGTCGTTTTTCCCGTGTAGACAAGGATATTCCAAACATATCCACTTGCTGACTCGCACAATCTGAAAGATTCCATTCCAAATCTCGCTCTTTTCATAGGAATGTACAGCTTCCATCCGAGTCGTCCTTTCCAGAGGAGAAGGCTCTCGTCGATGCAGATATCTCGCTGAGGCGTGTAGGCCTGCTGGAACTTTTCCACGAGATGTTCAAGGATGGGACGAATCTTGTGAAGTCTTGGATTCAGCATGTCTTCGGGCACTGCCGCCCCATTGTCCACGAAGTGCGGGTACTTCAGAAGCAGGCAGAACCTTTTTTCTGTGAAGAGCTGGTAAAATATTGGAGTCTCCAACAGAGGTTGTCGCGTGAAGTATGAATTCAGGGTCGGCTTCTGAACGATCCCCTGCAAAATCCAGACGCCTAAAAGAAGCTTGATCTCTTCCTTAGTTGTTGGTATCCAATCTTGTTCTCTGCTTCTCGCCTTCATTTTGCCAGAAGCACTCTTCTCGAGGATTTTTTGTGATGCGTACAAGTTCGTGTTGTCCGCTATCAGTTGACAGATTTTGTCATCAAGAAAGTATTCAAAGATGTTGAGTGGGCTCACATCATCAAGCTGAATGTGAACTCCGGCACTTCCCACAAATCGAAATGGATCTCTCACCGTGCCAGTGTCTTGCCAGGTTGCAGCAGGTCCCGAAGTTGATGGTGGTGCCGTAAACAATTGTTCCGCTGCGTCATCATCAACTTCCGTGTCGGATCCTGAAGAGCATTCATCTGAACTCGAGAAATCAACATCGCAGTCGGAGTCCTCGTCAGTACTTTGCAGCAGCTCAGCGATTTCTTCGTCAGTCAGGGGACGCCGGCGTTTGCTGGACGCCATTTTCCAAACAAACAGTCAAACGTGTTACACAGAGGTCTTCAATCTTTTTTTTTGTGCTGCCATCTATCCATCGTTTTTAAAACTAAAAATGTTTCCAATCTATGAGGATAGATGGCGCATCCTCCCCGTACGGTAAAACGAGCGAGCGTATAAAGACGCGCTTCCCAACAGCGAAGGCAGTGCAGCGCGTCTACAGACGCGCCCCCCAAGCTGCGGTCAAAATTGCCGCGCGTCTAAAGACGCGCTCCCCAGTTAAGGGGTTAAGGGCTAGGCTCCCAGGATCGTGTCTGGTATGTCGACACAAACCTACCTGGACAGCTACTGCCATCTATAAGCGATGGCGGCAAGCACACAACCAGTATGGTTTTTGCCGTCGTTCATAGATGGCGGCAACCTTTCCAGCTATCATAGAAGAATTGATAGTTGGGCGCGTTGGTGGGAATTCATTGTAGGAAACAGTGCGATAAACAGACGACGACAAAGAAGAAGCACACGTAACGAGCGCAGCGCTCGTCGTGTTTGTTTCTTTGTCCTCGTCTGCTTTGCGCGCCGTTTCCTACGCCCACTTCGCTCTTATCAGTTTCGGTTTGGACTTGCGATGGGTCGGCCACGCGCCCTTTCGGGGAAGGGAGACAGGCTGCGGAAGGAGCGGCGACGTACGCAGCAGCCTTTTTGGGTCTGCAACCGCCGCAAAGTCGCTGTCGCCTCGACTTCCACTGCGTTCAGCGCTTAGGATTTCCTTGCCAAAGAGCACATTGCTCGCCTGGAAAGCCGCCGCCGAGAATAGAACCAGCGATGTAAAGGGCGCCGGCGGGCCAACGCCACGGATGACGATCGTGCCACGGAGGCGAAGCGCAAGTGTGAGGCCCGGTGACGACAGGATGCCACGCCGGCTGAACAGTTTTTATAAATACTTCAATCCCACCATAGTAGTGCTTTGCTGGTCTTCCATCTTCACCAAAGTGGAAAGGCTGAAAGTTTTTTTTTAATGTAGTGCAAGACACTTAACTTAGGGGCAGGGACGGCCGAGGTGGTTTGGGAGCTCGAAGAATCCCGGGAAGTACTCTGGGGGACCCCGGGTACGTAGGAACACAGTTGAAAAATCCACATGCTAGAGGGACGTCTGAACTGGTTAACCTTGAAACATCCTACGATGAATTCCCACCAACGTCCCCAACTATCCATTCTTCTATGATAGCTGTAGAGTTCTTGTATAGGCTCCCTACGGGAGCCAGAGTTTTGCGTCTGTTTTCCATGTGCCGCCGCGCCGCTATTCGCCGAGATCCGATCACGTGAGGATCCGGATCAAATGCCGGGCAGGAAAATAGACGTTGCACGCACCCCGAAAGTACGTTCCTCTGCTTTTGAGCGCGCTGCGCACCTCGAGCGCACGGCGCTACTATTACCGAATTCAGTCACGTGAGGAGCAGGATCAACATGCCGTGCAGGAAAGACGGCTCTACGGAGATGAATGTGCAACTCTGACTCCCGTAGGGAGCCTATACAGGAACTCTAGATAGCTTGAAAGGTTGGTGCCATCTATGAGTGACGGCGGCACTGGTTGTGTACTTGCTGCCGTCGCTTATAGATGGCGGTAGTTGTCCAGATAGGTTTGTGTCGACAGGTACAGGACACGATCCTGGGGAACCTAGCCCTTAACAGCTGCGCTGTAAAAACGATGAGACGAGAAATACGGGAAGGAATGAAAGGAGCTTTAAAGACAGACACTTGGATCTGAATGCTTTCATCTTATTTACCTGGTCGCCAATGAAACTAACTGTTCAATTGCAGTTTAAGAGCTGTCTATAATTGTGCAGTGAGCCTCCGTGGCACATGTTCGAAGAACCGTTGACTATGCCGTCTTGGATGTTTTAAATTATTTAGCCGCTTAGCCATTGGTTGTGGAGGACAGCTTCGGCTTGTGCTATACTCCGTTTCACTATAACTTGGCGAACTGTGGAGGCTGCAGCCCCCGTGACCCAATAAGGGCACCGGAGCAAAACACGTATAACACTCCATGGTCAAGGCCACCGGGGCCTTGGGGGATCGGTGGCCGACTGGGCTTACACCAGCTCGGAGCACGTTGAGCGAAAGCTCGTGTTGCAGAATCCAGGGATCCTGGGTTCAATCCCCACCCCTGCCTGTTTCGATCTGGATGAGCTTCGTACCGGCGTGCGGTCGTGTATCACTACTGCGTGGCGCACGTTAAAGACCCCAGGCTTGTGGTTATACTGCACTGGCTAAATTGCTGATCTCCAATGAGTGACTCGTCGCAATTTTGAAATGGCTGACCAACTACACGCCGTATAAATATCCACACAACCTCAGTTATTATTATTTACAGTAGCCTCGTTACCGCCACACCAACAGATCCCTCCGAGACAAAAAGTAGTTCTGGGCTTGTTTTTCTTTTAATGGCAATTGAACTTGCGCGATTCCATTTATAACGAGGAGATGTGAATAAATAATAACAAATTTATGAGTTTCAATTATATCTATTCTAAACCTAGCACATTCGTATCCGCTCATTTTTTTCGCCGTGGTGATTGGCGATCACTGGCGATAGCAGCCGTGTCATTGGCCGTTTCCACTCAAAACATTGCACTGTGCCCTGGCATTAGCACCATTTACAGATTTGTGGCTAAATTGAGCGTATGGTTGTCTTATGAACTGTTCCCAAAGTGCACGCTGTTCAAGCGGACGGAAATGTTGTTGCGGTGCACGTTCATCTGAAGTTGTTGGTTTCAGAGCAGACGACTCACTTTTATGCACAGACTATACTACAACCCATGGTCACTAAAAACATTTTCCCGGCTCATCATATTTCCTCTCGCCTAGATCATCCATGTAAAGTCGAACCCATTTTCTCTAGAACTAATGCCTACAAATACTCACCTCTCCCACTATGCATTTCTAAATGGAATAGCATGCCCTCAAGCCTGGTGACGATACGTGACCATAACCATTTAACGCAGGAGCTTGTTAAGTTGTTTGAGTAATCTCTGTATAATGATGCTTTCTCATTGTTCTCATTCAATGTTTTCCCCAATTTTTGTGAATTTGTGTGAATTTGATGTACCCCCCTTATGTAATGCCTCACATAGAGGCCCTTAGGGTAATAAAATGAAATGAAAAAATGAAAAAAATAGCAGGCGACAGCCGGTTTCTATGGGCCTCACGCCTCGCATTTGGTGTGGTGGCACAAATGTTCCCCTGACGTCGGGTCACGTGCCTCGCTCCAATGCTCTTTTTGGGTCGCTGGACCCTAGCCTCCACAGTTCGCTAAGTTATAGTGAAATGAAGTATAAACGCTTTCAGCGTGCGCCTGATTGAGCCGCCATAACCGACCTTCTCTTGTCTTACCGAGATGTCGAGCCACTGAAGCGGGCGTTGACAAGCCTTCAAAAAGGACTATGCTGGGGAGAAGGACACAGTAACACTTAAAATGGCAATAGCCTGTCCTGCTGTGATAACGATAAAGTGAGGTGAACGGAATAAGAGGGAACAAAAACTGAAGGTCGGTTATGGCGCCGCCCACGCACAGCTGCCTGAAAGCGTCTATATCCACAATGCAGAAGTCTGGTGCGTCATCTATTACTTCGTGGCACATTACTATCCCGATTGTTTCAATCACACACTGTTATTTCCATTGCCTACTTTGCCCCTGTAAGGCTGTACGGCACCTTGCACCACCTAAAGAATGATTGCAGTTAGTGGAAGGGACCCAGTAAACATGAGGCATTGCTATTTCCCCCTCAGGTGACGGCGGAAGAGGCGAGCCCGGAAAGGCTCCCCGAAGAAGACGAAGAAGAAGAAGCGGAGGCGGGGGACGGCTCCAGGGCAGAAGACGCCGCCGAAGGAACGGAAACTGGCGCCGAAGAGACGGAGCCGGATGCCAACGCCGGCGTTTCCAAACAGAAGTCCGACTCCATGCTGCCTTCGACACCGGCCGGCCACAAGCTTGGAACCAAGGGTGAGTTGGTGATACGACGGTTGTCCTTGTTTGGATTATTGTTTCGGTTATATATTTTGTTCTTGGAGGGGCTGTAGAAGGATATGCAACTGTTTTCGGCTAAGATGTTTGTTGTGTTTGTGGTGTGCAAATGCAAAAGATAAAATTTATAAAAAACATAATTATGGAGGCTAGCACGGTGCATTTAAAAAAGGACACCACGAAAAGTGCACTTTCATTTCGTGTCTTTGCGATTGGAGGAGTGACACCATTCTCTCTTTGGCCACCTGCTCCTGGTTTCTGTGTAGACCTGAAAGTCTTCAAGGTTACTTCAAATCAGCATGTCTCGCAATTTCTTAATGGAGGTTGGCTTTGAACCCAATTTTGGTGGAATGGTCAATTAAGCCGTGTTGCCAGTCCTAGGTGTGCGCACTAACTAAAAGGCGAGACATCCAACCAAGTCCTAATCAGGGATCCAACGTCTCAAGGCCTACTCGGCGGTTTCTTCAGGGAGGTGGCCATTAACCCATTCGCTACCGAAGCCGGCGAATTCGCCGGCTTTGAATTTGCCGTCAGGGCCCAGATTGCCAAAGCGGGCGATTTGCCGGGCTGCATGAATTTCTGTTTCCAAGAGCCATTCATAGATGGCGCACTATGTAGACTTGGGGTAGCGCAGTTAAATACATTGCCAACAGATGGCGAGGGTCGTTCTGTTTGCTGTGTTTGTTTGAGCTTGTTCTTTTGTGTGTCATCTTTCCCGCTCGATCGCTGCCTGCTTGGAGAAGATGGCTGTGTCCAGTGTACGGTGTGCCCTTTCTGATGATGAAATTATAGATATCTTCTTCGACAGCGATGATGACGGGACGTCTGGTGAGGATAGTGAGTTTTCGGAGCCTTCTGTCGACGACGGGAGCGATCCTGAGAGCAGTTCCTAGTCCGAATCACGACAAGAGCGCACCGGTTGTGCGACGCCTAAGTGACCGAGGATGGAGTGCTTCAAGATCTTTCATACGAGGAAGAATTTGTGAGGGCCTAGTGATTTATAGACTTTAACAACTCACTTTAGCATGTAAATAAACATAGTTTCTTGTTTTCTGCACTGAGTTTTACTGTAAAAGCTTTTTATATAAGCAAAACAGTCACGCCTATTGTGGCCCTGTTTTAGGGGAAAAATATGCGGTACGGACAGCCCGGCAGCACATGATGCGTGCGGTAGTGAACGGGTTAAGGAACAGTATTTTTGTTTTACAGCGAAGCTGCTATGCGCTAGGATCTGGGAAGAAATGCGTCCGCTGATGTTGACAGAAAACTCTCCATTGGTCGTGGCAAGTCCTTGAGGTTGTCCTAGAAATCATCCTTGAGGTCGTCTTAAACGTCGTCCTTGAGGTTGTTCTAGAAGTCGTCTTTGACGTTGTCCTCTAGTTGTGGTCCTCAAGGTTATCCTAGAAGTCATCCTTGAGGTCGTACTAGACATTGTCCTCTAGGTGTCGTTCTTAAGGTCGTCCTTGAGGTCCTCCTAGAAGTCATCTTTGAGGTCGTCCTAGATGTCGTTCTCTAGGTATCGTCTTGCACGTCATAAAAGTAACAGCTTTGCTGGTCCTCCATCTTCACGTGAAGTGGAAGGGATCTACAATTTTTTACAGCGATAGCTGTTATGGGCTTTTCCCATTACTGGAAATGACATCCATTGTTGATGTTGTAGTTGGCAATGTAGGGTGTCCATAGTCGATGTTGCCAAATCCTTGAAAAAGATTGCCCACCGACTGCTGGAACTGAACCTGGGTCCGCTGCATGCGAAGCGGAGTTGTTACCACTGAACTACGCCACAGTGTTAGTAACCTGCTCTATACTTAGGGTTTTTGTAGTACCTGATGCCCATTGCATGCATTCTCTGGAAAAAGGAAAAAAAACTATAACAAAATGTTGTTGTAGATCTACAAATGATAAGAGCTCGTGCCAATAGATGGGCTTTCAGATGTTCCGGAACAGAATGGTCAGATGTCTATATTGTTCCGAACGCTTTTGTTCACGCACTCCACGGTGCGTGAATGCGACACCGATGCCCAACAACTTCGCCACGACTCATCACAGCTGTCGCCATGACTGTACAGTAGATTAACAATTGTCCGGTTAGTTTTTTTGTTTTCGTCTTCTATGGTGCTGCATTTCTGAACCTGAACATTTGACAGAAATGTGTCCGGTTGGGGCAAGACTAATTCAAAGGGGGAGGCATCCAACCAAGCCCAGGGCGCCGACTTTTCTATTAGTTGCGCCCCAACCGGAGGGATTTCTTCTCAACGCCCTCGTTGAAGAAAGAACCCGCGCCGCGTGGCGCATCCGCAGCCCTCCGCCGGACGGAGAACGTGCACATGTCCGGTGCCAAGACGCTGCCTCGGGGCCTGTCCCTGTGTGCCCGCGGCCTACCGTCCCTCACCTCCCTGGCCGGGGCAGATGCGGGCGGGGCGGACAGCGGCAGCAGCCCCGAGGCGAGCCGCAGCGAAGTGTATGGCCTGTACGCCGACCTCATGAACGTCCAGGACTACGAGAGCCACGAGCAACTCAACCGCAGCGACCCGGAGCTCATGCACTTCCACTTCGCCACCCTCGGGCGCAGGTGCGTGATTATAGAACCCTCTCGTTGCCCGAGGCGTCTGCCGCCTTAAATACTTTCACGTCGTTTTTGAGGAAAGCCCACATACATCTCTGTTTATCTGTAGAGCGTGCGGAGAGTCGTTCATTGAAGTACCGTGAGGCATCCTGAAAGATAGCCCATCTCCCACAAAGGTCGTACGGCGTGGAAACGGGATGGGTTAACTTATGGTACATGACACGAAAAACCCGGTCAACTTTGTTTCTAATCCGCTTGTTTTTGGCTGCCCTAGACTATGGCGTGAGAATCGAAGTATGTGAAAGACAAAGGAAGAACTTCCTTTATTAGTTGCTTTCTAATTGATGGAAGCGACACTATGCTTGTCTAAACTTTTATTGCCTACCTCGTTGCACAGATTGACTGAAACCCAGACAACAGGATTTGTAGGGGAGGGCTGTATCTCGGTGTTCTCGGGAGAAATGTGGACGGAACAAAGAGTGTGATCAACTTTAGGCACTGTCGTACTTAGTGTTGTGGTGATTTGTGCAAAAATCTTATATCTGACTCCACATTCGCTAGGCCCCTTCTAAAAACTGTAATGATTGGTTGTTTGCGTGCTCTATGGAGATTAATCTGTTTTGTTTGAAAATAATGTGCAAGACATTTGAGCAAGTATGATAAATGGTTCACACTTCACGGATAGCTGAGAGTGCAAGGTCGTACCTTCCTCGAGTGCTCTGCGCTATCAAATGCTTAAAATGGAACCTGCCATTCACCAGCTTTCCCTCACAGTTTTTGAAGCCTTGTGAATAAAAGGTGGATGAATGTGGGCTTTTTCTGTAGGGGGGATAGAACCTGATGGGGTAAGGAAAATGTGCTTTGCACATAGGGTGATTTCAGTGAATAGTTCACTTTTGAGGGCAGTTTCACCGGACATATTTGCTGGTGAGCCATGGGCGCTAACTGCTGTGCGAGCTACGGAAGCATCACTGGTGTCGTGGTCTGTTTGGCATGTGGGTCAGTCTATTGGCCAGTGGCTCGAGTGCCAGTTCACTTGACTTTTGATGCCGTATTTACATGATTGTAAGACAACTCGATTGTAAGCCGACTCTCCCCCCCCCCCCCCCCCCCCCACCCCCCTTCCCGAAACAATGTATGTCAGCAAAACAAAAAAAAAAAAAAAAGTTATGCTTTAGGGGTGCATTGTACGGGGAACATGGGAGAATGGTAGGGCGCCTCTTTCGAATGCCTTGCCTCCAGCGCGCGCTGGATGCTTGGGAGCTTCTCCCTGTCGTTCACACTGTGTCTCTCGTTCGTACTGATGCTGTCATTCCCGTCGTCATCTTGGCTACATTTCCGAAATACATCACCCGCATTGCCCAATAAAATCCAGCACTTTGAAAATGACCTATCAACCCCATCTTCCACACTTGCTCAGTGATAGCGTTGCACGGCGTGGATAGGGATTGATCGCGCACTTCTGCAGCGTACGTTGCAGGCTTGACCTTTAAATCCGGAAAGTACTTAGACATATTCAAATTTTGGCCCAGCCTCTTCGTTTGCCATCACACAAGATCTTGCGCCGTTGCAGACGCCACTGCCACACCACTTTCTCCAACAGGTCGAACTTGCGTCCAATAGCGCAATCATTGGTTGCCTTTGGATAAAGAATGGCTGTTAACGAGTACAGAAAACCTAAACTGCCTGGATGATGCATCTCAGTACAGAGAAACACAGTTGGCACTCCAGTGCGGTTGCACAACCTCAACGCTCGATCAAACAATGTGCGACCGTGCATCGTGCAAAAACAAGCATTACGGAAAGATGCCATTCCAGCGGCTGTTTCATCCATTCTGGCATGGCCCTTACATCAAGCGCCACCACTCCCGGGACTCGGGCACGCTGCCGAGCAGTGCGGTGTATTTCACTCCATTCACAGCCTCGCATTCGAGCTTATTTGTGAATTGCGATCGCCATAAACGTAAGACTCGATCGCGCAGATTAAAAAGATTCGGCAGAGACACTTCAAACTGCTTTTTTGTTGGAATGCAAAAGCATTGCTACACTTAGCACATTTCTACAAGCAGCATGCCACGTCTTTGTATCGCACTCAGCGCTGCGGCGGTGACATCACGCTCCCCCATTGCGCAGGCACGACGAACCTTGCCAACTTCACGACGGCTTCCATTACAAAGCATTATGTTGCTGTTCTTTTCTTGGCATTTTATTTCTAAAGCGCGTCTGCTTTGACCTTGAGCTCACTCACTGACTTCCGTGACAAGGCATCTGCGTTGGTGTGCTTTTCTTTGTGTCTTTATATTTCCGAGGCGCGTCCGCTTTTTCCTCGAGCGGCCGCGCCGGCTTCCGTAACAAAGCATCTGATATGAAGCGCCACAGTCAATTCAGGTGCCCTTTTTCACAATTACGGGTCTTTAGGTGCCATCTTTTGCAGTTACAGATGCCGTCTGCTCGGCTCCATAAGACAGTTAAATGCTTTCGCAATAAAAATCAAGAAATGGAACTTGTAAAATGAGCGCACAGAATGGCGAAATGCTACAGGTGTAGTCGGCTAAACTCGTAACAAGCCAAAGTGTTCCTGCTATTGCGATTGTTTTGTCTTTGTCGGGCTGGGATGCTTTGGTTCTGATTATAAGTCCCCCAGTTCAGGTTATATTGATTGATTGAACATGCTTTATGAAAGAAGAAAAAAATAAAGTGCATACGACTCTCTCTAATAATTGTACACTGACAATTGATAAATGGGTCGACCTCCAATCGTATAAATGCGGTAGTAGTAATTGCACGTATTTGGAAGAATCGAGCACTGGGTCGGACGTCCTTCACTCTTTCCAACTACCCTGGCTTGTGCAGCCAATCGCAACGCTTGCAAACCTTGACTGAACTGGAAAACACTGCTTCAATGACCATTGCCCGCAACCGTCGCAGATCTCATCGTCCAGGCCGGCCCCGGTCTTGGGACTTGTCCACCATGGAGGTCTCAGGAGATTCTGACTCCTCGGCCGCCACGTGCGACCCGAGCAACCCGGCCGCCGCCAACAACATGGCGACAACCAACACCTGCGCGCCACCAAACACGGCCGGGGCCGCCCCTTCGTCCTCGGACGCACTGAAGTCTGCGTTTGCGTCGTCGCCGTCCCCCTCCCTGTCATCGGCGGAAGGCCCGGCGTACGGCACGCTGCGGCACCCGCGCGGCGTGGTGCGGGGCGGGGCTCCGCACCGGGGGGGCGCAGCCACGGACGGCGGCCCGGGGGCACAGCAGAGCAAGACGCTGCTCACGCTTACGGGTGGCTGCGGGTACGTCAACTGGCGCAAGGCCGGCGGAGGCGAGAGGGACCACCTGGCGTCGTCGGCAGCTTCGTCGTCGCCCAGCGGGGACGCGCTGGTGCTCATCTGGGAGATGAAGGTCTGAGGGCTCCTCGCGAAGGACGGATCGTTCGGTGTCGCGAGGGCTTGTACCGCCCTCGGGATTTCCGTTTGAAACGGCCTGTCGCCCCGTCCCATTTTTCTGGCGAGCTGCGAGAGTAGGTCGGCCGTGTGAACGATTTTCGAAGTATGTTCCGCTCGGAGATCGAGCAGCAACTGTGGGAGTTCGACTGACGGGGACTTTTGTGCCTCCGTGTCGGTCGAGCGAGATTTAGAAACGGGTTTACGGGCAGCTTTGTGCGATTCCGAAAGTTGCGGGGATGAGGTGGATGGTCGAGCTAAATTTGCTGGAGAGCGAGGGAGCTTCTGCCTTTTGCTAGTCACACCGAACAGGTGACCCTCTTTCTCGGAATCTTCTGTTTGAGCTCTGGACGGGTACGGCTTAGCTTTTTTTCTTTTTTTTTTTCTGCGCCGAAAATTAGTTTTATGTTACGTCCCGTCGGCTTGAGACGCGTCGTGGCATGTCCGACGTCGTCGTCGGACATGCCACGGGTTTTGGAGGGCTGTCTAGCTCGACACGGTGGCAGGTAATGTGATTTGGGCATTCTTGGGACAGTTTAGATTTTAAAAAAATGTTGTCGGCTCTCTGGGCTTACTGCAGGCCGCATGCCACGGTAGACGAGCGTTTTTAGAGATGGCTCGTGAAGCCGAATGCAGCTTTGCATTTGCTCGAGCACCGGGACTTTGCCTTTCCGATTTATGTGCTACCGAGCTGGAAGATGCTCGTTAAAACTCCCATCCCATTATGTGCTTGTTATCTGCGACAAGCCAATGCTCAAGTTAGCTCGGTATCTGCATCGTCACTCGAATTTTAGAAGAGCCAACACTCGTAACTTAACGGGCTATGGAAGTTTCATTCAAATATTAAGAGCCAAAGAAACGCTTACTAGTGCTTTATTCATCGTCACGGACATGCGCGAAACATTTTTAATGCTGGAATTGTAGCCAAACAAACATACCACATTCGTAAGCCCAGTCATCTTATTCTAGACGGACCGATTCACGTGAATGTATTGACTTAATTGCTGCGGACAGGTTGCCTATGTACGGTGCACAATCAGGATGTATTTGTGAGAGTGTGGATTTTCTAGCAGTGTAGTTTTGTATGCGACACTCTCTGACAACTTCAACTTTGCAAAAGTGTCGGCGAGGACGGTCGAGAACGGCAGCTCATTTCATGCAGTTTGCCAGCACTCTGCCAATGTCGCAACTTGCACGACGAACATCCTAGGCGATGTCGTGGAAACGGCCGCAAGGGAAGCCACAAGGCCTAGCAGCGGTTTTGCCGCCCGCGATAATAACGCCTGGCAGCCGGTATTGCAGCAGTACTCGTCCGGCAAGTGGGAACCTGCTTTTCCTCTGTCAGTAGGCCTACCATTTACCGTAATAGTTGTGGGTGAACTTTTTTAATATATAATGTAAGCAGCTAGGCATTGCTACGCCGCGTGCATTCAAGAAAGAATCTCTCCTTTGAACGCGGTGGTTGCAGTGAAAGACCTTCGCGGAGTCTTGCCATAGTCGAGGGGTGTCGACTGCACCCAGCATCTTATTTTTTACGATGTAGCTTTTGCAGTGACGAAGCGTGCATGTGTGTGTGTGTGTTCGTGCGAGTGACGTAAAATGCTGCTTGTCTCACTCATTTATTTTTGGTGTCAGTCTTTGCTTACGAGACATGTCTTTGGGGCTTGTACATTTTGCGTTTGTCCTTCGCTTATAGTCCTTGACAGTTCTTTGCGTGTAATTTAAGCCAGCCGCTGTACATAAGTTAGGAACGAGCGTGCGAATTGTCATTATTGCCGATATATATTTTGTCTGCGTTTGTGCGCCAGTTGCATGTGGCACTGAGCAAAGTTTGTACTACATTGTATTCTAGATTTTTACTTTGTTGTACACTTGTTTTTGCCAAGTCCTCTTCCATACTTGAGTTTTTGGAACATTTATAGCACATGCACAGATGTTTGTATAAGTGATTGCAAGTGCAGATAGATACCAGTCAGGTTCAAGGCAGCATCTACTTTGTTTTAGTTTTATGCCAATTTTGCTTGTAACCCCGTGTAAAGTATTACCAGTCATATTAATTCAAGGTATGTTTTTATATAGTTATTTTAGCTTAAAAGCTGCAGTGCTGACTCTTATGATCAAATGGCAAACTTTTTTTTCTTTTTTATCTTGTGACAATGCCATTGTAGCATAGACTTTTGCAAATTACCTGCATGAAGATGTGTACAATCTTCCTGTGTGAACAAAGAGCACTTCTGCATTGTTTTTACCATTTACTTTTTTAAAAAAAGTATAGTTTCGTTTTGTATGCACTGCACACAATAAAGCGGAGATTTGTCTACATAAATTGGTGTCTTTCTTTTATTTAAAAACAAGTGTTTAACTCCAAACGGAGGCTCTTCTGCCAACATTATTTTAGGTTGATATTTTGTGTTGTTGATAACTTTGGAAGGTTTATCACAGTAACTATTGAGCTTACCTTTCGCAAGTAGCTTAGAAAACTGCAGTAAATGTGTGCCTCGTGTAAATGGTAAAGACTCGCGAAATTATGGAAACCCTAAACCAAGGAACAAAACACCAGTCTCAATCATTATGATTAAACCGCGGAGCAAAAAAATGTCATGCTTACATTATGCGTGTTGTGCTTGGTTACGGGGAATTTTGGGTAGTTTTGAATTTCCCCCAGACGTTTGGGTGCTTCCTGGGTTTTTCACAATGATCAAAGGAAGTTTATATTTATTCTGGAACAGATGGAGTGTGCGAGAAGTACGCTTTAACAAGAATTTTATATAGGTTCTACTTCGGAAGGTGCGTACAGCACCTCGAGATTTTGTGCTCTTGGATTGCAAGCATCCGCTCGTGGTAACTGAAGTTATTAACCTAAGTTACGACACTGTAAGTGATTTTCATATCGTGAAGGTTTATACAACTCCTTGTCCCGGATATGCCGGGTCGGTTTTGCACGGTCGGCGTGAATCGCTCATACACAAACTTCAAGTTTTTAAGACCCCAGAAGTCGTATTGAATTCGTCAAACGCGATTATGGGCGTCCTGTGGTTACTGGAGCTCACGTACGAGCAAGTCGAGCTCATACAAAAGCGACCCAGCATGTTTATGAACAGGAGAAGACGTTCTATAAGCATGGTTTGAACAAGATTGTGCACCGCTTCGCCTCTTGCAAGAAGCGTCTCATACTGCAGGCAGTGACATCAGCTACGTCGCATACATCATCTATTGACTGCTGTGGGAAGCAGCGACGTGGCACGCCTGCTACGCAGTTTGTTGGTGTGTTACGTATGATCTGCCCTATGTGGGAAATTAAGTTTAGTAATTAAGAAGCTAGCTGCATGTGCCAACAGTGACCTGCTACCACAAGCTCCAGAGTCATACTTTGTCCAGCTGCTTGCACTCCTGTTCGCTTTTCTTATGGAGTCTGGCTCCAACAGTTTGGTGAATCTCGATAATTGCGATTCATAATGCTTCCGATTTATGATGGCTAATTGAGAGTCGTAGATGTAGTGTGTTTGGCCATTCATTGGGAAGTATAGGAGACAAGTGAGGAGGTGCCATTGGCTGAAAGCAGGCTGGGTGTGTTCCAGGGCGTCTTCTCTGTCCGGCTCCTGTCCAACCAGGAGCCGGAAATAATACCTTGGCGGTGGTTGCGAGAAACGAAATTAGTAAGCGCGTCAGAGTAACTCTTGAGGACTGAAAATATGATGCACGTGATATTTCAATCACGGGCAGCCAAAATCATGGTGGAAGAGCGCAACTAGCATAATGTTTAACTTAACTGTATGCCAGGCGCCGACGGCCCAGAATCGCCATCCAAGCAGTCGCTCTCTGTTCGAGCAAAACAAAGTTCAAGCGACACATTCGTTTCTTGCGTCTTCATGCATGATCATAATCGAAACATCACAGGCACCCTATTTCTATCCATTGAGGGTTACTACATTTAACTCTTACGTACTTATCAAAACCATATACCTATGATTAGAACTGTTTCTCGCTACCACCGCTAGAGGATTCTTTTCGGCTTCTGGCTGGTCAAGAGATCATGTCAAGCCCTCTTTCCGCGTCTGGTGCACACCCTGGCTCTGCCCATGCTCAACATTGACCAAACTCTCTATACATGGATCTCAGCTAAGTATGCCTTTTATATGCTTATGCGATGCCTGCCTTGGTCTTGTGCTTCATGTGGCCTGGACCTGCATGCAATGCTCAACGCATTAAATTCAGCCCCCAAACATATTGTATTGAAGGAGATGACGCTCAGACCCTTACAACTTTGTTTTCTTTTTTTCTTCAGTCTCGGAGTGTCTGCACTGAAAAGCTGCAGGCACACTGGTAAACTCAGTCGTGAGTGTACCAGTGTGCCTGCAGCTTTTCAGTTATTTCTGCAAAACCTTTCTTCGCACTGGCATCCATGCGGTCTTGTCAAAACCTTGCCAGACGACACTCACCAAGAAAATTGTTAAGGTGGTGTTTACATTAGACAAACTGCGGTTCGACTAAATCGAGGGGTTGCAGCGCTGCCGACACACTTCATCGGTATTTGCGTAGAAGGATCCGGCGGTGAGAGCATAACTACGTAAAACCAGCGTTTGAACAAGTGACGATAATGAAACGTCACACGTAGCGATATTCGTCGTGACAAATCGACACTAACGTGGCTTCCCGTCGAGGAAGGTGTTTGTTTCTAACAAAGCTCGACACAGCGGGCTGCGGGCCCCCCCAACACAAGCGACAACTATTTATTAAGCGCACACGGTAACCTCGCCGCACTAGCAGACGACGACCAACCAAAGCCGCGGTGTTCAGCGGAGCACGGTCCTACTCTGAAAGCCATGGTCCGCGTAATCCTGCGGCTTGACCTTGTCAGACACCTTCGGGTAGCCGTGGTCCCCGGGAAGCACGTCGACCCTCGAGCTTCGAACGATGAGTCCGCTGTGTCTCGTCCAGTCGTGGTGGTTGTACTTCCTGTTGTAGTGGAACCCCAGGCCCAGGACGTACATGAAGAAAACCTTGGGTATGACCCAGCGAAGCACCATCGCCGGATTTTTGCCCAGCGTGGGTTCGAGGCGGGCGAAAAGCGCGTCCATCGGATAGCGATAGAACCTTCGGAAGGGGTTCTTGAGGGCCCTCTCGAGCTCGGGCACTTTCCGGGGCTCGTTGGGTGACAGATGCTGGTCTTTGAGCCACTTCTTACGCCACTCGCGGTCCGCGTCCGTGAAGTCGCCGGTGAGACGTTCCCGGTCGCTAGCGAAGCGACCCTGGATGCTCATGGGCTTCACGCCGCCCGTTTCAGAGTGCGGTAAGTTATGCTCACCCATGGTGGGGCGGTTTCACGGTGCTGACGAGCGCGGAATTCGTTAGTTTTGCTTGGGTTGATCGTAAATTGTTTTACTCTACGAAGTGAACCGAAGCCAAGGAGGCTGAAGCAGATGGCCTTCAGCTCACCTCTTTTTCTGCGAAGGCTTGGATGGATGGATGGATGGATATTGGCTGTTCCCTTTATATCGGGCGGTAGCTTGCGCCACCTAGCCTTAAAATTTTTAATTAAGAAATTTGTTCTTTTTTTTTTTTTTTTTTTCCTTTCTTCTTTACTTCTTTGCAACTATCACCGGGCGGGTAGAGTACTTCCCAGGAAGACCTTTGGGGGATCGGGAAAAAAAAAAAAAAATTAAACACCGCCCCCCGCCTCCTCCCCCGGGCGAGGGAGTCGCCAATTTTCCTCTGGTCAACCTCGTCGGTGTTCCTCCTTAAACCACACCCACTGGGGGACAGGTGTGGGACTTTGGGCCGGAGCCACGCGGGAGGGAGTCCCAATATTCCTCTGTCCCTCCTGACCCCCAGCTGTGCTAATTGTTCGTCCTTGTTTCATTTTCCCTAGACTGTATCCACCAGTTTTCCAATCTCCTTCTTGTGATGGTAACCCTTTTTTTCTCCATTCCTCCATCCTCGTCCGCAAAACCGAGCGCCCCCGCCAAATCCACCGACCCCTCCAGGAGAGCAGGGCGAAGCCTCGTACATTCTAAAACAAGATGTTCCATTGTTTCGTTCTCATTTTGGCAAATGGCACATAATGTATCCATTTTTTCGAATTTAGCCCTATACGTTTTGGTTCTTAAAACCCCCGTTCTAGCCTCAAATAGTAGGGAACTACCCCGTGAATTATCAAAAACCTGTTCTTTTCTTATTTCCTGCTTATGTGACCTGTAAATTGCTAAAGCTGATTTTCCTTGCATCCTACCACTCCACATTTTCCTTTCGGCTTCTTTTACGCCCTTTTTTATCGTTGTGTTCTGCTCAGTCTCCTCCCTAGATGACAAATATTTAAATTTTAGTTTTCTCGTTCGGTTCGTCCATTTTGTATTCAAACTCTTCATGTATAAATACTTGTACACCTTCCTCGCCCATCGTACGTCCTCCATTTTTGTTAATCTTTGATCAAATTTCAATTTGCTGATTGCCTCTCTACTCTCAAAAGACGACCATCCCATGTCCCCTTGTACCCCTTCATTTGGCGTGTTCCCATGCGCCCCCAGTGCCAACCTGCCTACACTTCTCTGTCTGACCTCCAATCCTGTCTGAACCTCTGATCGCATGCACAGCACTGCATTACCAAACGACAAACCTGGCACCATGACTCCTTTCCAAATGCCTCGAACTACTTCATATCTATTATAATTCCACAGTGCTCTATGCTTCATAATAGCCGAATTTCTTTTCCCCTTTTTTATTACATTTTCCTCATGTTCCTCTAAATATTTCTTTCCCTGTTTCACCCAGACCCCCAGATATTTGTACTTATCTACATAGTCTATTTCAAAGTTCTGAATTTTCAGCGGCTCCCCCTTTTCGTCATTAAAAACCATCACTCCAGATTTTTCTCTACTGAAATTTAGACCAAGCTTGTCGCCCTCTCCTCCACATATCCCAATTAATTTGTCCAATATTTCCCGGCTATCTGCTATAAGTACAATGTCGTCTGCATACATCAGTCCAGGTATGACTTGGTTTACTTCGCTCCCTCCCTCCATATACGTCAGATCGAATCCCAAGTTGCTCTGCTCTAACCTGTTTTCCAATTCGCTTAGGTATACCATGAAGAGCAGTGGTGACAGGGGACAACCCTGTCTAAGCCCTCTTTTTATTGCTGCTGGTCTTGTAGTTTCTGCCTCCCACTTTATAACCACCTCATTATTTGTATACACTTCTTGCAAGAATCTAATCAAATGTGCATCTAGCTCATACCTCCTCAGCAGTTCCCAGAGTTTTTCCTGACTCACATTGTCGTATGCCCCTTTGATATCTAAAAATGCTGCCCATAATGGTCTATGGTTTGTCGCTGCAATTTCTATGCACTGGGTGGCTATAAATAAATTATCTTCAAGCCTTCTATCCCTTCGGAAACCATTTTGGAGCTCACCCAGAATCTGCGTGCTTTCTGCCCACTCTTCCATTCTTCTCTTCACTATCTGCATAGCTAGCCTGTATATGACCGAAGTTACTGTTATTGGGCGATATGATTTAATACTATCTTTATTACCTTGGCCTTTATATATTAGTCTCATCTTGCTTAGTTTCCAATCATTGGGTACGTCCCCCCCTTTAATTATTTGGTCTATCACCTGTTTTAGCTTTAATTTGCTTGCTTTACCTAGGGCCTTTATTAGTCTGATTGGAATGTCATCTGGACCTGTTGCTGTTCCTGGTGGAATCTTACTTTCCGCTCTGTCCCATTCTCCTATAGTAGTTCCCATTGTTTTGGCTCCCTCTTCCTCCTGCACGTTACTGTGATTGGTGTTCTCTAGTTTTCCATTTGGTTCCAACTCCGAAAAAACTTCTTCAATTGTCCTCCTGATGTATTCTCGAGCCTCTTTCCCTTCAACCTTTATCCCCTCCTGCGTGGTGAGTGAGTGCTGGCACGACTCCGTCTTTTTTCCCTGTGCCTTAATGTGCTCCCAAAATCTTTTTGCTGCATTTCTGTCGTTCTGATTTATCTCCATCATCCACTGAACCCCTGCGCTGCCAATTTTGGTCTGTATGAGAGCTGATGCCTCCCTTTTTCTATTCAGAAAATTTTCCCACTTTGCTGCTACTTCGTCTGGGGTTGCTCCCCTTTTCTTTGCCCACCTATGTTCTCGAGATGCCTCTTGACGTTGTGATATGGCTGCCTTAACCTCTTTATCCCACCAGATTTTAGGTTTGTGCTTTTTCCCTCTCTTTCCTCCTCGCTTACCTCGGTACTTTTCCAACTCAGTCTTAAAAATGCCCACTAAATCCTCATATGACCACTCTCTTTCCGGTTGGTTGGATACTATGCTCTCAATATTTTTGGATACTTCTTGTAACTGATCTTCGTTTAGAGTCGATTTACCTTCCCGTTCCTGAATTTTTAGCTCTGTTACCGATGCACCAAATTTGATTTTGATTCTTCTGTGGTCACTCCCTAAGCTTTTTATACCTTCTTCGTCTATTTCCATACTCCCTAGCCTGTTATACAGCTTTGGGGACATGAGGCAATAGTCTATTGTTGAGTGAGAAGCGTTTCTCTCCCACGTGATTTTTCCATCGCATTTTACTTGAGCATTAACTAGTACTAGATCCAGAGCATCGCAGAATTCTTGCAACATTTTCCCTGTTGTGTCAGTGTGCCCATCAAAATCTTCTAAATGGGCATTCATATCTCCCATGATAATTATTTCCCTATTTAAACCAATTTCTCTGACATCCCTCGCTATGCATGACAAGTGCTGTGCATTTTCTTCTTTTGAATCCCTTCCCGTTTTCAAGTAGACAAATCCCAGCAGTGTGTTCAAATCCGTAATCCGTCCTATCAACCATAGGTGTTCCCTGCATCCCTCATTCACCCTCTCTCAGTCTTGGCCTTTGATCAATACTCCTATCCCTCCTCCCTTTCGTTCTCCGCTACTCCTGTTGCATCCCAACCAAAAATAATCCGCTATGTATGGTGGCTCCTCCATATCCCTAAGGTGGGTCTCCGCCAATCCATACACCTGAAAATTTTCCGCCATCAGCTGCTTCTCAAGCTCTTCCCATTTTAGTCTCTTTCTACCTCCCTGCATGTTTATAAAACCAATATTAAGCTGTTTCTTCCTCTTTTTTCTATTCCTGCGAGGCCTCCTCCTGCCCTCCCTGTCCCCACCTCCCAGCTCTAAATCCGGATCCCTCTCTTCTCCCGGACTTCGCAGGCTCCCAAAAAAGCCCTTGCCCTGCAGCCCATTCTTCGTCCCACCCGGCTTCCTGTGAGCTCGCCATAATGGATCCCGTCCCTTTGGAAAGTGGGGACCGGACTCCTTTGGCGGACCTCCCTGTTGATGTTCATGACCTCGTATCTGTGTTGGAATCTTAGTGCCTTAATCACATTATTGGCTTCTCTTACCTCCCTTTCTGTTTGTACGGTCTGCCCCCTAACCTCTGGGATGGTGCACAGCACGATGTGCACGTTCTCTTTCACCTTTCTGAGTTGCCGGACTCCCTCCCTAATGTGCGCGCCCAGATCCCCTCCTTTCCTGTTCAGCACATCGTTTAGCCCCGCGTGCACCATGACTAGGCTCTCTGTTGCCTTATTTTCTTGCAGTATAGCCACTGCACTTTCTATTACCTCCTTCATTCCCTTTCCCGGGCGGGTCACCACTTTCACCCTCTCGTCGTCCTCCACCTTGCTCCCTATCCCCTCCCTGCACCTGGCCACATTGGAGCTGCCCACCACGATCACCTGCCCCCCTGCTCCAGTCGCCTTTCCTTTCTCTGCCGGTCGAGCGTTCCCTGGAACCCCATCTCCTCCTGTACTCGGTCGCTGCAGAGCCGCACTGTATGAGAATCCCTCTACCCTGGCTGCCTGCCCACTCTTGTCTGCCGCTGTCCCCCTCTCTTTCCTCTGCAGTTCGTCTTCGCCAGCTCCCTTCCGCGCCCACCGAGCCTCCATCTCCCTCAGTTCCCGCTCCACCTCCTCTATTTCCATACTCAGTTTGGCCTGCAGCTCCTTTATGTCCTCCTTCTCACTCGGCTTCTCCACCTGAGTCATCATCTCTCGCAACTCTTTTTCCCGGGCCACTCTCATCTCCCTCTCCTCTCGTTCTCTTCGGTTCGCATCATTCAGTCGGGTCTCCCAGCTTTTTTGCAGTGCCTCTTGCTCCTCCTTGGCCTTTGCCACAGTCTGTTTCAGCTCCCCCACCTGAGTCTCTAGCTGCCATTCCATTGCCTCGTGCCTTTCTTTGTTCTCCCTCATCACCACTTCTATCTCTCCCAGCCTATTCGTCCATGTATGTTCTAGTTCCACTCGCCTCTCCCTCTCCTCTCCCAGCTGCCTCTCCATGTCCCTCAGCTTCATCTCCCATTCCGTACTCAGCTTTTCTCTCATGTGCACCTCTGCCCTCAAAGCCTCCTCCAACTCCTCCCGCTTTGCCCTCTCTACAGCCAACTCTCCTGCCCCCGCCTCCAGCCTCT